AGAGCATTCTGTTCTCTTTTTTTTTAAAATCCTGAAACCAAGCACTGAGAATAGCTTTCTATTAGAGTTTTTGCTCTCAGTGAAGTGAAGTGAAGTTACCTCAGGTGGCGAATCAAACGAGAGTCAGAGAGAGAGGTCCTTGGAGAGTGTGTGGTATCAAACCTGCAGCCCTCTGGTAGCAGGCAGGGAGTCCCACCACTGCACCCCTTCAGCCTCTAGCTATGAATAATAAAAGCAGTATAAAATTTTCAAGTACTGTGCCGGTCACACGTGGAAAAGTACTCAGCGCTTTTGCCTTACGGCAAAGAAGGTCAGTGGTTTGAATCCTGAAGGTCTGGCACGATTCTTCTGGTACTCCAGCTACCACAGAGTTCAAAAACAGAACATTCGGTCAAATGTCCACCTCATAAGTTACGAGTGTGATTTTAAATGTCTGTGTGTCTCTATATGAACTATCCAAACTTTATCCTATCTTTGTCCAGGGACTTCTGGGATTGGCTCCAGCCCTCCACCACATGACCCTGAAGAGGATCAAACAGCAGAAAATAAATGAATAAAGACATTTTCTGAGCTTCACGGTTAAAATATTTTCAAAAAACTTTGACAATTTTTAGTCGAAAAATCCATGTAACTATTATTTAAATCCAAGAGCGATAACCAAAAAATTCTGCGATTAACCGCATCGTTACCGCTGCTTGACATCATCATATAGCAAGTGAGTAAAAATATATATGATTTATTTTTTGTATATAAATCCCAACAGACGGGTTAATACACATCCAATGATAACAAGTGTTCTGTCTCTGTTTGGACCCAAAAATAGGGTCACTCTCCACATTTGCATGCCAACCCCACAGGCATCCAAGCTTGCAAGGTTATTTAATGAACCATCTGTCGCCACATACGCACGCGCGCACACACACACATGCACACAGACAACCACATGTAATATATGCATACAAGAGTGTGTATGTGCGTGTAAAACCTGCCCAAATGCATAAAAGGCACGTGTTACACGAATCAGTACACAATAACTGGAATAATTCAGTTGATTTGTTGTGATTTTTGCTTTATTGCAGGTATTTAGACGGCAACCGAAATGCTGATCGTTTACACACGCAGTTGCCTACGGATGTGATGTGTCCTGTATGAGACACCTGTAAGAAAACACCTGCAAAAACTCTCCTGGTAAATGTTAAGTGCATTCACATTGTGCGCATTTATACAATTTCTTCAATTATCAAACCCATTTCAGATTGGCCTCTCACTAGGAGGGTGGTGACTTTTTTTTTGCCGTACTTCAAGATGGTCACCTGTTCAAAATCCAGGCCCTAACTAAGGATCGTTGTCCACTGAGTGTCCATGTTTTTTCCCTTTGTGTACTCTCCTCTCATCGTCCAAAAAACTGCAGTGGTGAATTAGGTTCATCATTCACTCTTAATCCACCCGCAGGTGTAAATGTGATCGTCAATAGTTGGCTGCCGTACCATCCGGGGTGCAACCCTGCCGCCGCCTGATTACTGTTGATTACCTTACCTGAGTGACAGGTTTTTAAAGTGATTAATACATCCCACGGACAACACGTAGCTTCCATTTACACTCGCATTAACACCTTCAGCCATTTAGTTTGAGGAAGGAGTGAAAAAAATTTCCATTCACACTAAAGTCATCCGTCCTGTCTGGCTCCAATCAGAGATGATACACATAAAATGGCCTAAATAATATGTGTATCACCTTTTCTTTAATCATCCATAACCAACATGTGACTAAGAAAATAGTCTTGAGTGCATTTTGTTTTCATTCACTCCACTTTATATATACATTTGTCTTTTGTTCGCTGTGTACTTTATATTAGATTAGATTGAACTTTATTGATCCTACACTGGGGGAAATTTGTTGATAGTCTGTTTCGATCGTAGTAAAGATGAATCGGATGCAGCTTTTGTTTGTCTCTGTGTGTGTGTGTTGGGTTTTTTTTTTTTTTACCGGAAAAACTGTCTATTCAGCCTCGGAGCCGCCAATCTGTCTGTCTGGTTCACACCCTCCTGTTCCTGTTCACTGCTGGAGAAGACTGGAGTACACAGTAAAAAGCCATCTGCATACAAGCCAGGACCGTTAAATCAAAAATGCAGAGTCACACCAGTGACCTCCGTTCTCGATGGCTGATTTGCCATCAAACTCTAATGTTTACAATTGCTACCATCAAAACAAAGTAATAAAGTGAAAAACAGCATGTCTTAATTTTTAACTGTTGTGGTCGGTGCCTAATGGCGTCATAAACCAGTATAGGCTATATTCATTTATTCATTCATTCACAGTCACTCAATTCTATAACAAACACAATTCTCTGTGGACCAGTCAAAAGGTTCAAAGAAGAATTAATAAAAATCTTCTGAAAATGATGCATTTACCTAAGGATTTGTCTTTTGAGTGGTCTTTTAATACAGTGATTCCCAACCTCTGCTTCGTGGCACCCTAGTGTGCCGTGACACATCATTAGGTGGGCAGTGGAGAATTATCCAATGTCACTTAATTGGTCCCAAAATGATTATTTATTTTACTAATAATTTTTCTTTGTTCGTCAATGCGTGGCAGGCAGAGCAATTTAATCCTCTCCCGCTAGGTGGCAGCAGATGGTTATTAAAACTAAAGAAAAAAGATAATCAGAACTGTTGAAGAAGATCTTTGTGAGTGTCTTTCTCCACTTCTTGCCTGTATATCAGTGTTGTTTTCAACTAATCAGGAGTACATTTTTAGTGGTGTTGTTTTCAACTAAACAGGAGTACAAATTTAGTGAATTTAAACTATAAAACTATTAGATTTCATTACTTACTTTTTGTGAGATGTGTGCCGTGGCTTAAAAAAGCTTGGGAAACACTGTTTTAGTTTGATCAAAATGTGTTGAAAAGCTTCAATAATTAATATGTCTGTTGAAAGGTTGTTAAAAAATATTTCATTTTTGATCTGATATGGCTCATAAAAGTGAGACAGTGTAAGCCTGCTGGGCCCCTAACCCAGAGGTTGGAGGATTGAAACTATCCTCTGCTAAAGTCAGTAACCCAGTGCTAACAGGTGTGGGCCTGTTATCAGAGAATGACGGCGTCCACCTGGCTGTGTGTTGTTTTTTAATATGAACATTTTTAGGGATGAAATCACCATAAATATTATATCTTATATGCTTGGTTTGAGTTTTAGGAAGAGGCAGACGTTCTAACGGGATCAGAAAAACTCTCTGGCTGCTACTTGAAGACTGGCTAAAAAACACAGCATCTCCCTCCTACCAGCTCTTTGGACGCCTGCCTCACAAGTGTTTCCTCTTGGCTGTCGTCCTACTTCTCCAGCCATCATTTTGGCTGCGTGCATTTCACACTGATTATCGTTTCTTCTCCTACATTAAAGCATTTAATTCATTATGATCGTCTCAAAAAACATGATAAATTTGTTGAGGGTTTGGTTTTTTAAGGTTGAGAAAAAAGGTTTATCTAATTAAGAAATTGAATAAAAATATTAATAAAAATAGAAAAGGTTTTCCACTTAGGTCTAAACGCTTTTTTCTGTGGATTGTCTTTTGCACAAGGTCACAACCCGCTTTGTCTAAGGGCCTTTAATTTGTGTTGTTTTGTTTGTTTTGTTCAAAAATGTAATACTGTTTTCATACAAGATCCCCTTTTTGCTGATGGGTCTAATTTCAAAATTGTTCTGTTTTGAGGGTTGAAAAGCCTGGTCATATGAAAGCATACAAAACCTAATTTTTGACAAAAATACAACGGTAAGACCCTGTCTAAAAATCTATTAAAACTGAACCCATTTTGGAGTTTAAACATCTATCTTACAACTTTCTGACTCACCCTCATTGTACACTAAAGTACCATCTTCCTGAACTAAATGTTCTGCAGCCACTAACCTTGTGTGACTTTACCACTGATTTCAAGCAGTGATTTCGAGACCCTGTTAAGTCTCAATCCTCCCATCTCATCGACCCAATCCTATTCTCTGCGAATGCACAGGTCTTCGCTTTGCTGAGTCACTCGCAGTTGCCTCAAGACCTCAAGTCTCTGTTTTTAATGTGACCCAGTTAGCGGCTGTAACTGACAATTATTTAGCACAGTCAGCTCAAACATGTAGAGTAAAATGCTATCCACAAGTAATTAGCCCTCCCTTTGCTAATGAAGTGTCTTGAAGGCTGTAGTTATTGGCCATAGAGCTTGAAAATCACACTTTCTTTGTGCTTTTCATTTGAAACTGCAGGGAGAAAATGCAGTTACGGCACACATTTGTAGAGCTGAAGAATTGTAAGAAAGGAAAATATTCAGAGAAAAATCATTGCAGGTAGCTCATGCTAGTACGACGCAATACATATTTATGTCTGCTGTCAAACCGGGAAGATAAAGAAAGCTAAGCTTTGGTGTGGAAGGACATCAGTCGTTATTTTGTGCAACAAAGAAAAAAATCTCTACCAATTCCTTTCAGAAAGTATCACATAAAGGCATAGTTTAAAAAAGCAATTACTTTGGTCATACATAATGAAACATCTACATTTATTCCAGCACCAACTTCTGTTTCTGGACACATTATGTCTAATCATTAAAGCTGAAATATTATTATATATTTTTGTTTTTGTGTTACTGTCCTAAAGATGCTACACTGATAACCTCTGATCTTAAGAGGGATTATAATGAAAAAAAAATGTAAAATTAGTTGTAGCAGTACTCATAGTAGTAGTAGTAGTAGTGGTAGCAGCAAAACAACTTTTGCTCAGCAGACATTTGCTGTGGCTTTGCCCCTTTTTAAGTAAATATTACATCTTTAGCCGCTCTAGTTTAAAAAAGCTTTATAATCTGACCAACAAGCTTGTTTTTTAATACTCGTCTATGTTGTACATATAAGTACTAGTCTCTTTAGTGTTAAAAAAACCCTGCTTTTGACTGAAAACTTAAACTGTCCAGCTTCCTCTTCCAATCCACTAGATGGCGGGGTACTCTTCTCTTCTGAGTTTTTTAGCAACAAAAAAGAAGAAGGCGGAGAAGCAGGAAGTGGAATGCCGGAGAGACGTCTCTCTGGTCTGTTTTGACAATGATGGAGGAAGAGGAATTTGAATTCACTGAGGATTTTGAGGCTATTTTGCATCTAACCCCGGAGGGTCAGCAGGCTATCGACCAGGTGAGTTCTAGAAATAGTTGTTCCTAGATTTTAAGCCGTTTTAGTTGCCATTGTAACACAGAGACAGATGTCTGTTCAGGCTAACCAGAGCTGCGACTCCCAGATCTTTGGCTGACGTTTACACTAAACCGTACTTCAGTATATCTGAATACGTTAATGCCCTTTGTTGTGACGTAGATAGTCTTATATTCAATATAAAAATATTAATAAAAAACTAAACGTGACGCTGTTTAGACAAAAAATAGCTCCAAAGTGTGTGAAATTGATGGTTAGCAACACTTCTCCGTTAAAACCATTATTATTCATTTTAAAGCAGCACCAACACACCGTATCGAGATGTTAGTTTTAAAGCCATGATTTAATAATTTGAACATTTTTGTTTTTGCAAGGTTTTCCCGAGCCAAGATCCATTGGACAGAGCAGACTTCAATGCTGTGGAGTACATCAATACTCTGTTTCCCACCGAACAGGTGCATGAGACTAACGCAGAAAACTGTTTTATTGTGCTGTCAACTTGTCTTATTTATGGAGATAAGTATTAATGGTGTCATTTTTTTTTTACCAATCAGCTATAAACAATAATTGCAATAATACAAGCACTGACGTATGTTACTCAGACGTCACCTCCAGTGATTGTGAAGACTATCAAACTAAAGTATTGTATGTCTTGTCCATTATTAAGCTTTGGTAATTGACACTAAATAGTGAGTTTGTCTGGTCACATTGGGACCCTGAAACAGAAAATACAAATTTTAGTGTTTTTCAACACATCACCAAACACAACCACCTGCAGCCAGGGTGGGGTTTGAACCTGCAAAGTTGGGAATCCAAAATGTTTTGAATTACATCATTTTTAAACATTTCGAGATCATGTAATTTTCAGGCCCAATAATTCAGAACAGTGAAAATATCCCTAAAATGCAGACCTTTATTAGCAAATATTTAACTTGATCTCTACAGTATGTCTATTTAAAGCGCAAAACACTTTCATTTAAAAAAATTAAATCTTTTTTGTCTCTATGTTTGTGTGTATGTCATGCACACTGATGAGTAAACAACCGTAAGAATAGATATTCAGTGTCAAATGTTGCCTTGTCTCAAATCTTCTATTCGCATCCACGTATAACATGCATGCAGGCATGTGTTCACAGTGTCCATAAGGGGTCACTGTAAACCTCTACTTTGTACCTATGTATATAATGGAATAGAAGGGTGCCTTTTATTTACCAGCTTGGGTACTTTGTATGTCTCCAGATGATCATCTACATACTTACTGCCACATCCACATCCACATCTGAATGCAAAAATCTACATACTTACTGCCACATCCACATCTGAATGCAAAATACCCATGAAGCACGAATTTTCATATATTTGTACATGCTCTGGGTTTCTCTGACTTCCTGTGTCCACGTTTTCCCTTCAGTCTCTGGCCAACATCGATGATGTGGTGAACAAAATCCGTCTGAAGATTCGGTTAGTGTGTGAAAATGCTCCAATGACAACATATTTGTGCTTTTTGTTTTTTGCCCTTGACACTTTTTTAACCTTTGTTGATGTGATGTCGCATCCTACAGGCGACTGGACGACAACATCAGAACGGTGGTGAGGGGACAGACCAATGTTGGACAGGATGGCAGACAGGTGAGACGAGATAACACACTGCAATTTCTGACCACTTTGTCCACTGGCTCGGTGTAGAAATACAGTATCTGGAACTTCAACTACCCACACATAAATACACAACCGCATTTGTTCAAATTATGTCCTCACCACTGTGGCAGTTTATCCTGAGAGTGCTTTAAAAAGTATCCATCTCCTGAAGTGAGAATGGTGCCATGAGTTTCTAGACAAACATCTTTCCCCCTCCTGTGCTTTCCTTTCCTCCCTTCGGCTTCCATGGAAAAGGACAAGATGACTCAGAGCCATTCCCGGTGCTTAAACTGCACCTCTTTACGGAAATCATGTCTGGGAAAAAGATTCCCATATGTAAATTCTTCGATTATTTTAAACCACTCACTCTGGCCTTTCTTCCTTTATCTTGCGGGTACAGCACAGACAAATAGTTTCTGCTGATTTATTCCAAGTCATAGTTCACACACACACACACATAGTTTGTGGTTTTAAGGAATCGGACACCTGACGGGCTGGGGGTGTGTTTGTTTGTTCTGACCAGCTGACGTGAGTTTGGTTGAGTCGTCTGGCTCAGTGGCCCCCTGTTTTCCCCTGTTCGCTACTGTTTGGTAGCGGAAACGCTCTAGATCCCATCCAGACCAATAACATTATACAGTCACACACGGTAATTTCAGTTTGTTTTTCCAGCCCCACAGAATCATTCCAACATTTCCCAGGGGGGAAAATCAATTCTGCAGATGGAAAGATGGAGAGGTGTTTCATTTCAAAAAGGGGATTGAAACATTAAAAAACCAGCAGTAGAATGAAACCAAACCAACAATATCAGCAGTTTTGACATTTGTTGAACCTTTTCTCTGAGTTGAATGCAAGTCACATGCTAAGACTTAAAATAGATGCTTTGCAGAGAGGAGTTTGGAGAGAAAGATAAGGGATGAGTCACAAAATGTCATGGGTTTGATCTCAGTTGTTTCTTTTTTTAATCAGGCCCAGAACCTGGTAGTGAATAGAGGAGATACATGTTTTTTTATAACAATGTTTCTGTTCTTTTATATATTAGTCAGAATGTCTTCTTGCACTTGTTTCGTCACTTCATACAAAATCTTGCTTTTATAGCTCACTTTTAGTTTAATGAATTCATTTCATCTCACTCACTTCTACTTTAGTTTTTACTGTATTTACTTTTACTACAGTTGTACAATTTCTTTAGATTTAATAATTTCATACTTTTATGTTTATTTATTTTTGTTTTTGTTTGACTTACATTTATAATTTCAATTAACTGAATTTATTCGTTCACTTGAGAGCTGAGTACAATATCACAGACATCTGTACTTACTTTTTGAGTTAAGCACAGATATACAAGGTCATCTGAACTCTTATGTTTGTGGGATTTTTTTTATTATTTCTACTGCAAGTCTGATTCAGCTGCTCTGTAGACCATCTTTTCAGAACATGTCTAATATTTATGTTTTTCAATGTAATATCGACTTGGCTGTACAATATTAGAAAATACAAAGCTGGGTGGTCTTCTATTCTATGGAAACACGTGTGAATTTTCCACTGGTCAGAGTGGTTACAGAGAGAACAACTTCATGGACGACGTGTGTTTTCATTTTTGGTTTCTATACATTTTTGGTCTAACACCAGGTTTGTACTTACAATTTTAAGAAACAACTGTAAAACGGGGAATATTACAGCAGTAGCATGTTGTTATCTACAGTAGGTTGAAGACATTTACGTTGTCGATGTGACTGTTCCAATGTTGTTTGACTTAATTGATTAACAGCTCATTTTCTGAGCTGTTCTCCCTGTTGCTAGATGAGACTCTCATCCCTCTAAACTGTCTCCCTGACATGTTTACATCAAACCGTCCGTGTGCGGAACGGCCACATAGGTTGGTCAGATTTATCCTCCTTCTGTCCCGCACAACAGATGTACCATTTAAAGTATACATAAGATGTTTGACAGACGAACGATTGAAGTGTGTTTACTTCTCCTGTAACTGGTGGAAACAAAGACGCTCTCCGCTCCTTTTTAAGCCCGTATTACCACCTCATGTGTGCCATGGAACATGTGCTGCCCATTTCATGTTGAGGGGAAAACATTGGTGTACATGTGTGAGGGCTGATAACATCTTGGCCATGTAGGCGCCTGCTGGGCAGTGGTCTCCCCCTGCTTTCCCCAAGGCCAAATACAGGAAATGAGTGGTAGGAAGTGAGCCAAATAGGCTGCGCTGAATGCGCACAGGCGACAATTGCAGCCTCAGAGGTTCTCTCCTCTTCTGGATCTACTTTGTTGGCCCAAGTTTTTCTCAAGGGGAACTCTCTGAAGATCCGACGGCGCTCCCTTTTGGTTTTTTTTTTTTTTTTGGATCAAAGACTAATCACATAAACAGCCTAAACTTCCCTTTTCATTTATGCAATCATCTAATGTCCAGAGGGCTTCTGAGGCGCACATGTCAAAGGAATCGATTATTTATGTAAAGCAGCAGACAGCCTGGGCTCATCTGTAATGAAGAGCGCTTCATATATCCCTCTTCGTTTGTCTCTGTGGCAGAAAGCCTTCACTCAGAATCCCATTACGCAGACTAAATGATGTTTAAGCCTCCAGGTGAACTCCTCTGACTTTACGACCAGGTTGTTTAGTGTGTTTGAAAAGAACACACAAAGTCAAAAGATATTAAGATGTGACATTAGTCAGATGGGAGGATGATTCCTCTGCTGCCAGTGCAGGCTGTATTTATGTCCGTGTGTATGTGAGTGTATCCTCGGGTTTGCCATCCACTCACATCTGAGAGGTACTTGTAAAAGTAGTAAATTCCTCGCACAGCTGGTGCCGGCTGTTAGCATTCCTCGTGTGCACATGCACATGTGTCTGAGGAGAGCCAGAGCAGTGTCTGTAGCGCCGCCCCAGCATCAGGCCAAGTGGAGCTAATTACCTTGGCATCAGATGTCAGTGCAAAAATTTGTGTTTCGGGCCATCAAAAAGCAGCTGCCCTGTCAGATGATGAGGAAATCAGAGAAGCACCGCAGCTTTCCAACAGTTCAATCTCTCTGATGTTCTCCAACAACCATCTGGCTTTACAGGTTATTACATGGAGGTTGATCATTGATAACTTTGGTTCAAATTTCATATCGCTTTCCCAATTGAAAGAGGGATTCATCGTAATTTTCCGTATTCGCTCTTTTCATTTTTTTTTCCCTTCTCACCCAATTGTTGCTGCTGTGTCTGCTTTGACCGGCGTCCAAAAATATCTGAGCTTGATCAGGCGTCGATCGGTCACACGCAAGCATAAACGTTCATACACATACTCAGGTAGTCCACAGCAGTTAAAATAGGTTTATTGCTGTGTTGTAAATATCATTGATAATCTCTATTGTCACACGCAGGCGTTGGAGGAGGCTCAGGTCGCCATCCAGCAACTCTTCGGCAAAATCAAAGACATCAAGGACAAAGCAGAGAAGTCTGAACAAATGGTATGTCCGCAAAACACGAACTCACAAACACACACACACACACCCTGTCAGGACATGACCCCAGGAGTACCCAGGAGATCCTGCCTGTATTCTGTGCTTACAATAGAGGACGGTGAGGAGAGTTATTTAAAGTGAAGGTAATGCACCTTCCATGTGTCTCTGTGCGTCAGCGAGAGTGAGGAAAGGCCAGTAGGATAAGTCAGTAGATAAAAGATAAGGGGCCAAGACAAGCAAACAGATTTGATGTTCACCGTCTACCTTTGGCTCCTTTCAGAGAACCCTTTATTTTTCACGATCATACATATGTTTGCATTTTTTTTTGCCTCCTGTTTTCTGACTTGTCTTTTTTTTTTCCTCCTGTTTTCACTGCTGAGCAGCATCTGACTTGTTTCTCCTGCACAGGTCAAGGAGATCACTAGAGACATTAAGCAGTTGGATCACGCCAAGCGTCACCTCACCACGTCCATCACTACTCTGAACCACCTGCACATGCTGGCAGGGGGGGTGGACTCTTTAGAGTGGGTACAATCAGATGTATAATGTATAATTTCATTCTTGTTGAAAATAATTGAAAGCTGCTGCATGATGCTACTGTCGTTAATATTAATAATAATAATTAGTGTCCAGAAACAAGGTTTGAACATTATTACAGACTCCATCAGATAAACAACCGGTTCACAAATGTGTCTCAAATGACTACAGTAATGAGTATATAATTGTCCTCTGTATGGCATCAGAACATCATCAGAAATACGTAGATATTGGTCCCCCGGTGGAAATCATTGGTGTGACAGCTGTTACTACGTGAGCATTTTAAATAAGAGCAAGTATGATGAAACAGATGATACAGTATAAGAGTATATACAGCGTCGAGTGTCAACGTCATATCGACAGGTTTGATTTGCTTAAGATTTAGAAAAAGACAAATATGTTGACCCCCAAATATTTACACATATAATTGCACACATTGTGAGCAGGAAAATATTGTATGGTCTACTATGGACTACTATGGCCTACTGCAGAGAGTACGTACTTGAATGACTTCCTGTGGAGCTGTGAGGTAACACAGGAAGTCAGTCCCGCATTACGTTACTGACTAATCCTGTGGCAATAACACCAAGTCAACAGAGCCCTGCAGAAAAAAAGCTGCATTTGTACACGTTAAACTTTCATCGGCGTGATTGGATTACTGCATTAGGACAGTAATACCTGCCCAGCCCGATATGCAATCCAAAAAATGCTAACAAAGTTGTGGACCAACTAAACTACAACCAAACCCTGTCGTTTTAGATTATTTTTGACTTAATGATGATCACATTTGCAAGAACAGATGTTCTCTAAAAAAACAAAACAATAGATTTAATGTGTCGGTATTTTTTGTGTTGTTCTTTGTGTTACAGAGCTATGACCAGAAAGAGGCAGTATGGAGAAGTGGCCAACTTGCTACAGGGAGTGGTCAATGTGCTTGAACATTTCCAAAAGTACATGGGCATTCCCCAGATCAGGCAGCTCTCTGAGAGGTAATCAACACCTCCCACACACACATACCCACATATACATGCACACACACACACACACAAAGACAAACATACTTATACTCATGTACTCACTCAGCTCAAATATTCACCAGCTCTTGGATTTAAAAGTGGAGACAGTTTATAGCTGCAGATCTCCAGTATATTGCATTGTGTGTTTACGCAGATATCCACTAACACACTTATAGTTTCACACGTGTAAGACAGCTCCCTCAGTGATAAGGATTTATTCTCTCTTTTATTTATTCCTGTGAGAAAAATCCACAAACAAGCTCAAAAGAGAATATCAGTGCACACATCTGTTGCTTATGAAAATTCTCCTTATCATTGTTCCAGTGTTGCTAACGTTTCCCTAGAAAATCCGAGTGAGCCATTGTTGATGTTTGGAATTGTTGAAATGTGGTGTTGGTGCCAGAAGAGAGGAAAGGTTGGCCTGCTGTTGTTTCTGTTGTGACTAAGGTGGGGCAGACAGGCAAATAACAGCTGCATGGAAGAACTGACTCCACTCAAGAAGCAGATGATAGGAGAGAGACGCAGGAAAGGGCAAGAAGTGAGGGGCAGGGCAGACAGCTGTACACAGCACAAATAGTTATTAGAGGAAAAATGACTGGTGCTCCGTGAGAGACGGGGACTTATCACCACTTATCGCCATTTCTGGTTCAACCCCCCCATCAGGGGTCTCCGCAGCTGCGATCCACATAGTGATTTTGTGTGTTTTATGTTCAATGCCTTTCGAGTTGAACCTACTATCTAAAGATGTGGCCAAAAACACCACGAAATAAAATGTCGGATTTTTGGTAGAGCTGGTTCAAAAGTTATCTGTTATAGAGTTTGCACTTTCTCCCTGTGTGTGCATGGGTTCTCTCTGGGTTCTCCGGCTTCCTTCCACAGCCTAAAGGCATGCTCATTAGGGGGGGCACTCTAAATGGACCATAGGTATTGAATGTGTCTGTGAATGTTTGTTTGTCTCTATGACCCTGAGAAGGACTGGCGAACTGTCAAGGGCTGTACACTGCCATTATTCTTAGTTAGCTAGGATTGGCTCCAATGGCGCCTGGAATACGTAGTAGATGATGGATGGATGGATGGATGCGACGGATTGGCTCCAATGGCGCCTGGAATACATAGTAGATGATGGATTAGACCATTGTCTAATTTTTATTTCTTTAAGACATGCATGAAAAACTACTAAGCTGCAGACGTCAACAAAATAAAAGCATGAAGTCTAATTAGAACTCATTGCATCAAATCATGCGCTCCCACTAGACAACAGCTGAACAATGCATCAACATAAACAACGCTACACACCAGCAAAAAATTAAACAATTACAGTAACAGGCCAAGCATAGGATTCCCACCATCACAGGTTTCCAGTTTCCCACATAAGGAAGTGCAGTAGTTGTCAGACTGTGACTGCCATTAACTCTCTCGCCCCTCACTTTATATATATATATATATAATATGTACATAGTTGGACCAAATGTAAATGAGACTGTGATTATATTCACCCAGCTGTTGACCCATAACAGAACCATAAACACTGGATGAATCGAATAAAAATGATGAGCTGAAACAGGAGCTGCAGGCAGAGAATGTGATAACAGACTCACGCCCGTGTTTACACACAGAGAAGTGCACATTTATTCTACAGAGAGGGATTGAAATAACCTTATATCATGTTACATGGCAGCCATCAGTGATGTCATCATCTCAACCCTCTGCTGTTTATTCTGCACAACTGTCTTGACTTTTGGTTCCTCCACCGCACTTTTCAATGAACGGTCCCTGAAGACCACGCAGTCTCAGAAAAGTAAACGGCAATAACTTTTTGGTTTCTCCTGTCGTCTCTGATTCATCTCTGTGAAATGTGCGAAGTCTGTCGGATCATAATCGACCCCATCTCTCGCTGACAAAAACAACTGAATCATTTGGTTTGTTTTAACATGTATTCTGTGCATTTTCTAGATCTGGTGCTGCTCTACTTGCTGTACCGTCTAGTGTAAATCCTGCAGCCTGTGTTTGGAGTGTGTGTGAATAGGCACTACAAGACAAGTGTGTCCCCTTCCGTGGAAAAATAGAAATAATAATTATTTCTGACAATTGATCACAAGTCAGATATTTGGCAAATGAAATTGTTTGGCTTTTTTTCTGGAGAGTCAAGCACTTGACACAGCTCTCGAACAATTGCTTTTGTCAAAGGCTCTTGACATCTGAATAGGAGACACTTCTTATGATATGGTAAAGAAAGACGGCACAATTCATATTGTATTTATCTTTTAGTGTTTCTAATCATTTAATTTTTTTAATATGGGCCTGCAGCTTTACCAAATTGAGAAAACTAACCCAGGAGATTTAATCCACATTTTAGTAAAACAATCTTGTGTCTAGGGGTGTGTATTGGAAAGAAACTGGCCGTATGATGTGTCACACTACAAAGGCAACAATAGGATATATTGCGACATACCGCGATAGTATAAGCATGAGAATATAGTTATCTTCAAATAATTAAATTGTATGAAAACTCTTAACATAGTAAACACACAATGCTGTTCCATGCTTAACATCAGGTTACTAAAATCCTACATTTGTTGTCGCTAGAGAAGAAATATAAGCACAAAAAAAAGAACCGACACCATGAATATTTCCATGTAAATTGTTCTTCAAAAATCAATACTGTGCTGTCGAATATTGAAACGATATTGTGAAACAAAATATTTCAGTATCGACATTTTCTTGCACCCCTACTTGTGCCTGATGAACATCTCAGGATATAATTAAATTCTTTCTGTCACTGTTTTTCCTAGGGTGAAGGCAGCACAGAGTGAGTTGGGAACACAGATCCTGGCAGATTTTGAAGAGGCATTCCCTTCTCAGGGCAGTAAGGTAAAAATCTTAAATGTGACTCACACGATTTTCTTTTTAATCAGCATTAAAGATTAAAGATTTAACCTTCGTTCCATGCCACATCCAGAGACCAGGTGGTCCCAGTAACGTCCTGAGAGATGCCTGTCTGGTGGCCAACGTGTTGGACCCTCGCATCAAACAAGAGATCATCAAAAAGTTCATCCGGCAGCATCTCTCCGAGTATCTGGTTCTCTTCCAGGAGAACCAAGACGTAAGTTTCCAAAGTGTATCTCGATGACGGTCATATCTCAACGAAAGGAATTTCTGTTTTTTATGACAAACGAAAAATCTCCCTGTTGCTCAGGTTGCATGGTTGGACAAAATTGACCGTCGCTATGCGTGGATCAAACGGCAGCTGGTTGACTACGAGGAGAAATATGGACGAATGTTCCCCGAAGAGTGGTGCATGACGGAGCGTATCGCTGTGGAGTTTTGTCACATCACCAGGTAAAAAAAAATACACAGTATTACAGGGAAATAAAACCCCACTGTGTGTAAGTCAAGCACCTTGATTAAGTCAAATTAATGTTTTAAAATGCGTCATACAGGCAGCACCAAATGTAGATGTAAATATAATGTATATATACTTTGTCTTTGTAGATGTGTAAATAATTCTAAATGTATCTATTGTAAAGTATTATATATATTGATACATCTATATATATATATATACATATATACAGTATATAAATATATACATACATATATAAAGTGTATATATATATACATTATATATATCTATATAAATCTGAGCTGCACTTTCAAAAAGCTTTTGAAAGTAACTCTCACTCTTTTATTAGGAACACGACACAGATCCACAGACCTGCAACAATGAGCACAAGTTACATCAGAGTATTTTCACATTCTGGATTGTATAGTCTGACATCTATAAGATGTGGTAACTTCCACACAATACAACGAGTTTAAATAAATAGTGTTAACATCTAGAACATGAGCTCTGCTATTTATATTAGTTTGTAATTTGTCCATCCTATTATACACTGAACAAATGAAAATTGCCCAAACTGCCAGCGAAGTATTAAATGAACCACAGTGATACCGTGGCTGTTTTGTGCCATTTTGTGTAATTGACACAGTTGCCCTACATGCACAGTGACCTCGAGCCATTGTTTGTGCGTTTTTTTTTTTTTTTTTAAATTGGCTGCACAAATAGAGAACGTCAATGCCATTATTACTAAAATGATCTAGCTACCTGCAGCTACAAGTTAATAACATTCATGACATTCATGTAACAATTTACAGATGATATAATGTACAAACATATTTAAATTATTTTGATGTGGTTTTTTTTTTTTTTTGGTTTTTTTTGCAATCCTTAGAGCTGAGCTGGCCAAAGTGATGCGAACACGAGCCAAGGAGATCGAGGTGAAACTGCTCTTGTTCGCAATCCAGAGGACGACCAACTTTGAGGGATTACTGGCCAAACGGTTCACAGGCTGCACCCTGACTGATGTCCCCGGAGTAAGAAACCATTAACATTCAACCAATAAACCGAGAACGTCCTATGGAATGTTACATATATGACAGCTTCATTTTACCTAGTGGGATTTTGACTGTGTGAGCTGACAGAGTTACTGAGATAATACAGAGTTAATGCTAATTACTTTGAAGGTCAATACAGTAACATTGGGATACCAAGTCAACTGGCCAATCAGGAAGTCCACAGCAGAGACAATGGACAAAGGACACAACAGCTTAAATGTTTTGATTAAAAGTCCTTGCACCGTACGTTTATTTATTTAATTTTTTTATTATTATTTACGACATCCAAACCACAAAGCATTACTAGGAAATTCTCCCTCCATACTCCAAATTACTACAATACTTTTTAGGTGTGCAACACCTCTTAGGTTATTGACGTCACCACCCACAGAAATCCATTGTTCCACCGCTGAAACTGACATGTGAATGTGGAAGTGATACCCTAAAGATGGATATATTTGTTTTTTTTAGCACATTCATGCTGTTTGTGTTTAGATGTGATAATATTTCAGTCACACAGAGGCTCCTTTGTCTTCAATATCTTTCACACTCCTGCCTGCTGGGTTTGTAATTCCACCAGGGATTTGGTGGAGCTGGAATTCCATAATTTGAGGTGCAGTTTCATCAGAGCTGACAAATAAAATTGCCAAAAGACAGCAAAGAAGTTGACTCAACCTAAGAAAAATAGAAATTTGAGTTTAATGCTCCCTGTTGCAATTAAATACATACGGTTGCTTTTAACTGAGTAAAAAAGTGGGGGGAAAAAATCTCTGTTTCTTCAGCAAAAAAAAACAGAAAGTCCTTTAGACGCCACCAACCCCTTCCTTGAGGATGAGCCGGGTGAGGATGTGGGCACCGAAAAAGACGAGGACCTGGCCAAGGTAAGATGCTCCCATGAATCATCAAATATCGCTTTCAACAGTTTAGAGAAGAACTCACTAAATAGGGGGAGTGCGGTCCGATTGCAGACCATGACGCCGTCCTATCCAGGCCCAAACCAAAGTTAAGATGAGGATTTGGGCTAAGGTATCAGACGGTTGTTTTAATGATATTCGATCCTAAAATTTTAACATCAGACCAATACTGATCCTGAGTATCAGCTCCATCCATGATTTAAAGGTGTAATGCCAAAAATCCATGTTGCCAAGTTTTTGATATTTGTAGTATTCATGTCTGATACTATCCATTATAGAGAATTATTGATAAAATATATTGATTTTACCTGACTATAAAGTGCTTTCACTAGATGAGTATATAGGTTATATTTTTTTTTTTTTTAATTTCCAAAAGTTTGATAATAGTTGTATTGGACGGTACATGATACCTCAGACCGGTTCTATCCAGAAGAATTAGATCATATGCAGATGTTCTTAAACAATTAGTCTCTGTGCGTTCATACCCCTCAGGTCTGAAATTATTATTTCTGTAGATTATCCAGGAACCTCCAGTCTGATTTGTGACTTATGGTTATTAAAATGATTGAATCCCCAGCAGAAGCAACACAAGCCTGTTGTTCCACTAACATCTTATTTTCCTCCTCTCTCCTCAGCCCAGGAAGCCCAAAGCTCCAGACAACCCTTTCCATGGCATTGTCTCCAAGTGTTTTGAACCGCATCTGTATGTCTACATAGAATCCCAGGACAAGTGAGGACGCACACAGACACACACACGCTGTGACAAACACAGGTCCTTATAGCGCTGTCCTTCACAGGCCCAGAATGAGGAGCAGGTCGTGTATAAATCTGGCACATACATTATTTTCTCCATTTCCCACACATCAATCAGACTCCCCCTCCTCCCTTTCTCCTCAGCTGCCTCCTCTGTCTTTCCATCTCTTGTTCCTGTACATGCCTCCGTCTCCGTTGTGGCAAAAATGTTTCCCATTAGCCGCAGGACCGCAGACACCAAGAGAAGGAGAGGGGAAAGTTAGAGATTCAGAGCTGCCTGTTCTCACTCTGTTTCTCCTCCTCTAAATACACTTCTTTTTTATTTCAAATTTACTTTGATTTTTTTTCTCTTCATCTCAAACTAAACCTTTTTCCTAATATTTGTTTGTTTTTTTTTTTTTTACTTTTCCTCCTCCACCCTTCATTTCACCATCTGTCAGTCACTCCCATCCCCTCCCCCAGTCATTGCTCCGTCCTGAAACTGATCACAGACCTGGGACTGCACCATTTGTACGCTGCTCCCAGCTCTGGGGTCGCCAGTGCTTCAAATAGTGTTTCCCTGTCCAACAGAAGAGAATTGACCTATTCTGCAGCTCCAACCTCACTCCACTTCTGTCTCAGGGTTTTTAAAGAGGCAACAGCCAGATCAGCTTATCCCTGGTGGGGCGTAACAGGAGAGAACAGTGGCGTGCTTGTTTAGTCCTTGGCTTTAGTTCTAATACCGAGTAGGCTGGGGCTACAGCAACCAACTGTGGACCTGTTGAGTGTAGCATTGTGAATTATTATTTTTTTCCTTCTGTTTATTCATCTGGTTCCCCGAGATCAGCTCTGTTATTTCATTCTCTCATCCATTTAGCAGGATTAAAGATGAGCAGCATGATTTAAATGTTTGGATTTCATCAACCCTAATTTCTTTCACGTGTACTTAATCCCATTATCCGTTTGTGCGTTTTCGTTCACTGGTACTTTTCTGTGCATGTGCAGGAATCTGGGTGAACTGATCGACCGGTTCGTGGCTGACTTCCGAGCACAAGGCCCACCCAAGGCAGGCACGGAGGAGGGTGGAGCAGTCCTGCCCAGCTGTGCTGACCTCTTTGTCTATTACAAGAAATGTATGGTGCAGTGCTCGCAACTGAGCACAGGCGAACCGATGATTGCCCTGACTACCATCTTCCAAAAGTTCCTGAGGGAATATGCCTGGAAGATCCTTTCTGGAAACCTGCCTAAGTAAGACTTGCTGAGGAAAAAAAAAAACAATTCCTGTTACGTTATTCATTAATGAAGCAGGAGGAGAACGGAGAGAAAACACCTACAAACACAGGGCACTTAAAAGAAAAGAACAAACACTCTTCTGTTAGTCGTGAAACACACCGTATCGCTGTGTCATTCTTAATTTGTACTTTCCATTCATACAACTCTCGACTTGACTGCTCAGTTACCATACCCGGGTTTACATTATGCACAAATTTGTTCCTCCTCATGCTCTGATGAGGAGCCATTTAAGAGTTTAATAAAAACTTAATGCTCTCTGTCTTCACTGCATTTGATGTTTTGCAGTTTTAAGATTTGGAGAAATCTGGAGTTTGTTACAGTGCGGTTTGGCTTAATGTGTCACGATTGAAAACATATCTGGCCCAGTGGCCACATTAAACCCGTCGTACTCGCACAGCCACAAGCACAGGCACACACACACACACAGATTTGTGCTGTTTGTGTGTCAGAGCTGCACTCGAGCTAATGACAAACTTTCAAGGACCGTCATATACTTAGTTCCAAACTGCCGTGTAAAAACACAGTTGTGTTTGTGTGTTGCATGTGCACAAACGGACACGCGTTTTAAATGTGGATTGCTTTGGATCAGTTTCGAAAAAACACTTCTATAAGAATTTGGCTCCGTGGTGTGGTTTGTACTCACACATGTCACATGTAACATCTATGTAAACAGACTCTAGTCAAGACCGATTAGGTTTGTTTGTACCGGTCCGTACTTGATGGAATATTTTCCAGAAGTATTTTTAGTCCTTCATTGAAGCAGTTTGTCCTAGAGTGTCCTGTGACTAGTTGGACCGATCCGTTAAAAACAAACACACAACATTTTCCACAAAGGCAAGGACTGAAATAAATGAATAATGTGTAAGGATTATTGTTTTCATCTTCTTTCTCTTCTGTGTATGAACAGGTCCAACAGTAACAGCGGTGGTCTGACCATCAGCAGTCTGCTGAAGGAGAAGGAAGGGTCAGAAGCTGCAAAGTTCACCGGAGATGAACTCTGTCTGATCTGCAGTATCCTCAGCACTGCCGAATACTGTTTGGCCACCACACAGCAGGCAAGCATGCGCACACACACACACACACACACAAGTGGATACTTACGTAGCACTAAGGTTGTGTCTTCTATTGATTTTACTGCAGTGACACCATCTGAACTTTAGTTTCTCAGGTACTGACTTGACTCTCGTTCGCACCAACCGCTCACTTCAGTGACTGCTACAACAAGTCCAAAAGTTTCATTCATGCTGCTTATGCTATAAAGTGCATGCAGTTGTAGCTAATGGTTTGAAAATGCAGCAGTGTGCAGCAGTGTTGGCACTTTTATCCGTTGACCATATTATTATTTTTTTAGGAGTATTTAAAGCGAATGTAAAGAACCACAATTTTATTTTCAGCAACATTAAACAGCCGTGCTTTGCTCTGCGGGGCAGCCAGGGCTGCTGTAAATGTTCACAGGCGGCTCCACCCATGACGGCGAAAAGCCACATTTGAAGTTATGCTCTTGAATTGATAAATAAAATTCCTCCCCGCAAGTGTCCCAGGATGCACCCATGTGACTTGCACCCTCCCGCCCTCTCCTTTCAGTCTGGCTGATCCTGCGATATAAAATACGGTCTGACTCCAAAATGTACGCCATATCATCTATGACCACAAGGGCCACCAGCTAAAATAAAACGCTACACTGCAGAATTTAAACCGCTGCTTTTGAAGAAAGTTAATCGAGCGGCTGAAAAGAAACTAATGGACTGACAGGCACTGATGGTGATGGTCTGATGACATTCAAGCAGGAGATCATCTCCTAAAGATGATCTGTGCTCTTCAGGCTTTTTAAATAAATAATCTCATTGGTTCTTGGATTCTTGTCAAAATAAATGTTTCAAAATTAAAAGCGACTGATTTACCGACACCACTAATTCATGTTTTTTTTTCCTCTTAACAACCACTCCGGATGAAAAGACCGGAAAATACAGTACACTGAAAGCTTTGTGAGTTATTTATATTAGTTATATATGTGTCTTGATTTCCAGCTGGAAGAGAAACTGAAGGAGAAAGTGGATCGAGTTCTAGTGGAGAGGATAAATTTGACGGGAGAGATGGATACATTTAGCACGTGAGTGATGTTTAAAAATCTGCCTCATTTTTTTTTAATTAGAAATGACTTTTCTGATCATGAAAATATTTAACTGTGTCATATTACATTTCTTTTTTCCCAGTGTAATTTCAAACAGTATTCAGCTGCTGGTTCAAGATCTGGATGCTGCCTGTGACCCCGCCCTCACTGCCATGAGCAAGGTTGGACACAGGACTCACAAATGATGTTTATAACATCAATTTGTGACCTTTTTTAAAGACCTAATTCATTGAAATGTTTTTTTATAATGCTATGAAAAGCATTGTGTCCACTCTACTCGAACTTCTGTCTGTCCTTTCACGCCCAAACCTTAGATGCCATGGCAGAGCGTGGAGCACGTAGGCGACCAGAGTCCTTACGTGACGTCCATCATCATGCACATCAAACAGAACGTACCGATCATCAGAGACAATCTGGCCTCCACTCGGAAATACTTCACGCAGTTCTGCATCAAGTTCACAAAGTAAAAGCACAAACTCTTTACATCATACATGTCAAACTCAAGGCCCGGGGGCCAAATGTGGCCCAACAAGCCGTTTTGTGTGGCCCTGCAGGAGTTTCTTAACCTTTGAAATTAAAAGTTTTTATCATCAATCAAATAATAATCCATTGCAGAAACATGTCTTAGTCTGTTATGGAGTAGTTACATCTATACCAGGGGTCCCCAATCTTTTTTGTTCCTGCTGGTCAGCCAGTACCACCCGTTACTATAGACAAGTAGCGAGGTACTGAGCATCGAAGGATCATTAAATATTCAAAATAAAATATCTAGAGTCTGAATGAACTATTATTTAAATAATGGATATGACTGGACTTTATTTGAATGAAGTAAATTAGTTAAAATTCAAGTACATTTTTTCATTGTGTCTCACTGTGGCCCGGTACCAAATGACCTGTGGACTGGTACTGGTCCGCGGACCAGGGGTTAGGGACCTCTGATCTATTCATTCTTCCAGTTATAACCGGCCCTTTAAGGGAAACTGTATTACTAATGTGGCCTCCAGTAAAAATGAGTTTTGACTATGCTTTCCATAATCACACATATTGAAACGAGTTTTTTTTTTTAAGTTTAAATTCATGTGTCCTGTGGTTGATGAATTGTTGTATTGTCCCCTGTCTAGCTCTTTCATTCCCAAGTTCATCAACCACCTCTTCAGATGTAAACCCATCAGCATGGTGGGAGCTGAACAAGTACGTTTGTTTCCTTTTGGTTCCACGTTCACTGAAATCAGTTTGGCTCAATATTTAATCTCGAAAAATGTCCTACATTTCTGTACAGCTCCTTCTCGACACCCACTCCCTGAAGACCGTCCTGCTGGATCTGCCCTCCATCGGCTCCCAAGTGCTTCGCAAAGCTCCTGCCAGCTACACCAAGATAGTGGTTAAAGGCATGACCCGCGCAGAGATGATACTTAAGGTGATGGATGAGGGCGGGGGGGGGCTGTCTTTTGTTCCTAAAGCCAACAGAAGTGATTTAACAATAACATTTTACCACTGAAAGCACAAACAGAGACTGACTCGAATCCTTAGGGTGAAATAGTTTTAATCAAACACTCCATCAGTACCACTTCTTTTTTTTTAGGTTTTTATGACATTTCACTTGACCGGTTGAATTCCTGTCGGGCGTTCTCAGAAATGTGGCTTCAGTTTCTGACCTTTAAAGGAATTGAACTCTAAATGGACTGCACTGTGTGAGTGCCTTTGCCTTTATCTGGTCTCGTCTGGGCTTTTTAGCTGATTTAGAGCTAAACTCTGACATGTCCAGTAAAACACAAACTTCGGTGTTGATGCTAACCCCTCTTGACAAAGCGTGTGTGGCCCAACCAGCAGCGAAACGCTTTTTCCACTGTTTGGGGTTCAGTCGCAAGACATAGCAACGTATCAGTCACCACAGGTAGGAAAAGGACTTAAATTGTACCAGTGTGCCCCGTCCAAAAAAGTACTTTAGATGCTCGAGCGTCTCACTGCACCTCAGGTGGAAATTTACTCAGAACTAGAGCTGCAGTTATTGGTTATTTTATTAAAAATAATCGGTTGATTTATTAATTAATTATAGTGGAATAGTGGAAAAAAAACATGACTAAAAAAGGACAAATAAAACCACAAAAAGTATAAAAAAAACGATAACGTAGGCATAAGATATGGCAGGTTTATGTATACGTGTGTGTATATATATATATATACCTACATGTATATATATGTATGTATATATGTATATGTATAAGTATATGTATGTGTATATATATGTGTATATATGTATATATATATGTATATATATATATATATATGTATGTTGTCTTTTCCGAACTTCGCTCTACTCTTTGTTGCGATTCCAGCATCATGTGCGTAACAATAAGCGTTAACTAAGCTTTGATTTGGGGAAAATTGCACTAGAATATTTTCTCAATCAATTCAATATAACCGTTACTTGTTTTAACGCTACATGATATTTATTATATAGAACATACACTACTTTCTTTCAAAGCTTAATGACAACGTTGCTTTTTTTTATCCTGTTGATATAATAACGAATGGTTCAAACGTAATTGGAAAGCTATTTGGAGATTTTGGTTCACTTTTTTATCTGTTGCTAATTTTGTTCGATATCTAGTTTTCTAGAGTTTGCATTCAAACCAAAGAGGTCAGTTTCTATGCAGAAGACTGTTGCTTTAATGTATAAAGGCTTTTTTCTTACAGTTTGACATGCAGCGTTTCTAGTATCCAGGTCAGATTAATTTAATGGTTTGATGTCAGAATAGTGACCTCCAGAATAAAAGCTCTAGAAATACTGGTTTGAAAAGTGAGAGACAGGCAAACAGAGGTTAACAAACTAACGCATGAATGCAGGAAGAATCTGTTAGCGAATGAGCGGAAAGTATGTCTGAGCAGATAAATGAAGAAAGGCAACTGTGTGTTACACTTACACTGGGGGAGAAAAAAAAACCCCAGGATTCAGAGTCAGCCTTGACTCTCAATTATCTCCTGAGACCCAAGAGGACTCTGGTATGTGGTTGCCATTGATTAACCCCTCTGTAATTGACTGTCCCGGGAGTGTATGGAAATGTACACAGACACACATATACATATGGAGACAACATGCCATTCTGTCCCCATGTCCTCTGACTCCTGTGAGGCCTTTTTTTTCCTGCAGTTATCTCTGTGTTTACAACAGGTACTTTGTGCTCTATTTAAACTGTGCCGCGTCTGTCGACTGTCAGTTGGTAAACGACATCCATTTAATGGCACAAATACATAATCCATCTCTTACGCTGCCACGGGCAGACCTTATTTTTGGAGGCTTGTTTCTGCTCTGCTGCAGTCTCCTGCACATCTCATATGTAAGGAGTGCCTAGGCCTTTTTTAGAAGAAAAAAAGAAAAAAGAAAGAAAGAAAGAAATGCCCCGAATGCATGTACATAAATTTCAACTCATCTGCCAAACATTAGAGGGCGTTTCACGTTATAGAATTATGGAATGCTTTCACATCAGCCCAAATACTGTCTGCTTTCTGTCTGACTGCGGGTGCCAGCGGGCCACTTTAGTCGGAATGTGAGCTATATGCCTCCTCAGTCACAGAGCTGACGCCGCATGAAGGCCTTAAGGAGTGATTCACCTTCTTAATGTTGACAGCAGAGCACAAAACAATCAGTGTGGAGGCATTGAATCTGATAGAACAAAACCATCAGTCAAAAAAAACAGATCTTTCTAAAGAAAGACAGGCGGGGATGTTTGAAGGGGAGTAATCACGCTGCAGGAGAGACAACAACTGTTTGTTACATTTGGCTCTAAAGAGCAACAAAACACACACACACCTCTGAAAGGAGAGTCCACACGGCCACAGAGAAGGTTCTAGAGCGGCAACCGTCTCGAACGACTCAAACATCAAGGTTACTTGAAGGTAATTGCTTCCACCTTGGGCCGAGGCCGAAGCTTCTGAAAGAAAAAAACCCATTGAAAATAAGGTCAATAAGACAGGAATCCACAGTCGTTTCAGATTGACGCCGTGGGTCCAGATTCAGTCCATTTTAGTTTGGAAAAAAATGACACATACAGGACAAGAAAGGAGAACTTTTTGAAGTTTTAGATGCTCCCCTTGAGATTTGAGCTCCTGACCCCTTTGTGGACTTTAAATAACTAACGTGACGTGGAGTGTGACTGGATGGTTTTGCCGAGTTTGGGTTAGAGCCTGCAGAATGTGATGGAAAGGTTTTTGCAGCTTATATTTTGCTTCTAGAAATGTTGTTTTTTCCTGTTTTTAAGGTAAAATGAACTGGAGTTTTGACATGGTTTTATTTGTGCATTGTTGTGAGATTATATAAAATTTAAAATAATTGAATCCCTCTACTGAAGTTGAAAGTGTACGCAAACTGAATATGTGCTCACATAGTTCGTGTAGCTAGTTTAGCGTGAAGTTAGTTTTTTCACTGTATTCACATAGTCCTGATTTAGACAGTGGTACAGTTTAAGTTTAAATTTTCGTTTTATTTGACAAACTATCAAAAACTACTTGTTTGGTTTCCTTATGCTAGCTGAATTCCTTTTTTTTTTCTTTTTTTTTTTCTTTTTTTTTAGTGACGTCTGGTTTGTGTATTTTTCTGCAGGATCCTTCAAAACGTAACAGAGATGTCAAAAGTGTGCTTGTTTGGATGAATGTTTTTGGCTGGTCCATCCTGTGAGACAGTGCTCACTTGTGTCCTAAGCACACATAGGATTCTTTATGTGCGTCTGCCTCAGCCTCTCCTGGCCGATGCGCTGCCTGTGAGACGTGGCTGTTTTCCACGCTCTTCATCTCAGCCTATCACGGCTCCGACCTCCTCTGTCTTCTCCAACCTCTGAAGTTGAGAGAGAAAAAAAAAAAAAGGCAACCCCCATCCCCTTAGCCTTGTTCAACTTCCCTCTCCCCTTCCTTGTCCTCCTCCTCGCTCAGTTTCTCCCCTTTTTCTGTTTTAGTGCCAAACTTCATTCTTAAACTCCCTCTCCCTCCCTCGCCTTCTATCCCTTTTTACAAGGTCGCTACAGACCTTTCTCTTGGCTCGGCTCCAGGACAGTTGCTAAGTAAATCACTCAGTCAGCAGGGCTGGTAGGGAAGCGAAAAAATTCCACACAATCTCCAGGTCTTTCATGCCTGCACTTCCTCCCTTTCTCTCCCACCTCTCATTACTCCACCTCGCCCTCTCTCTGCAGCTCACCTCTTCATGTATTTTACCTTGAGCGTGGAGCTGGAGGTAAATCCTGAAAGGATAGGCAGGACTTTTTTTAAAAATGCAGGGTAAAGTTAAACCTTTTATGGAAAAAATGGTCCCTCTGTGCATGTGTATGGTAGAGATAGGAAGTGGGGTCTGTGGGCCATGTGTCAGGCTGCCTGCTTTGTAGTGGCTTGAAGACGTGATCTTGAAGAAGTGATGAAAAAACCTTACATTTTTCCTCCACTATTGTTAAAGAAATCATCACTAAAATAAGTCCTAGCCTTGTGCCCCACTAAACTTCTCATGCCTTCCTTTGGCCAGTGCTGATTTTTTTTTTTTTTTTTTTACACTAAACCAGACTTTTTCCAACTCTTTCCAGCAAATTCTTGCCCTCTCATGCATGGAATAATTGGCAGATAAAATAAATAGAAAACAAGGGCTTAACGTCTAAATATATAACCAGCCTTGACTCTGTTTCCATCATTTGTAGTAACCCCCACTGCATTCCCTCATTCTGAGCCACAGTTGCCCCATGTGGTATCATTTAAAGATGTCTTTGGCGTCCTGAGATGGCGCACAGGAGTTTCACAGTCGCTGTTGGTTGGTGGCAGTCGGCGTTAATCCCGTCAACTCGTGATGTTTTATGACTATGAAAAAAGATGACTCACAAAAAAATCTGGCAGGGACAACTTATAATAAGCAGTCATTTCAATATGTAAACTGAAGGAACCAATCAGAGCTGCATTTGTTCGAATATTTACATGCGAATATTTTGTTTTCACACATTTTAAATGTAACTACTTTTATGCAACATAAACTCGTCCATTTTATGCTAGCATTGCCAGCTTCTGTCGCGAGGCTACTACTGCTGCTCTGAGCAGATCGAACGGTTGACAGCAAGAAACGAGAGCAAGGATTAAAAATACTACTGCTGCTCTGAGCAGATTGAACGGTTGACAGGAAAAAACGAGAGCGAGAATTAAAAATGACGGTCTCCTTTGCGATATTATTATCAGATATTCATTTTAAACCAATCAGTTTTTTGCCAGATCTTGTTAAACATTTAAAGCATTGAACAATGTAATGCGTTATGTTTCATTGATTCCATCCGCGCCCCTCACTTTGGGAACCTCTCCGGTAGATGTTGAAGAACGAGCTAATCTGGCTAAGCTATGAAGTTAGATTCAACACAGCCTCACATTTCAAAACATTAACATAAATGATGTTGTTAACTTGCTGTAAGATTCAATTAGAATAATAAATGTTCCTAAATTATATAAATAATATATGTTCAATTAAACATAGTTCCCTATTCATAAAATCCCAATTAAGATTTCAGTCAGTGCAGCTCCAATTTACATCTGGTTACTGCAATAATTACATAATAATAAATAATGGCACAAAATTGGGACTAAACTGCAAGTTCCCCCTGGTGGAAGTGGACGGTGAAGCCAACTCTAATCACTGATTCTCCTGCAGGTGGTGATGGCTCCGCACGAACCCCCCGTGGTCTTTGTGGATAACTACATCAAGCTGCTGGTCGACGGCAACCCTGAGACCTTTCAGAAGATTCTGGACATGAAGGTCAGTGTTGGTGAAAGTTGATGCAAACGTTTCAGAATTGAAGTTTAGATTAACCTAAACGTAAGAAGTTGGATTATTTAGTGATGTTTTCTTCTTTTCTGTTTTTCTTTCCCTTGTTGTGTTTTTTGGTGGCTGTAGGGGCTGAAGCGCAGCGAACAGAGCAGCATGCTGGAGCTCTTCAGGCAGAGGCTGCCCACTCCACCCTCAGGGGGCGATGGCGGCCCCTCTTTGTCGTTCAGTACCCCTACACCCGAGCAGGAGTCGTCTCGCATCCGTAAACTGGAGAAACTCATCAAGAAGAGACTGTGATCTCTACGCACACACACACAAACACTATACGCTCGCACAAAAGGACTGGGACACTTGTGCAGAATGAGATGTTGTATAATTTATTCCTAAAAAAACTATTCTGCAACAAATGACCTTTTTTTGCATTACACTTAAGTTAAACATGGCTGATGCTGGATGATGAAGGATTATGAATGTTGTCAGACGCCTCCTGTTGTTGCTTCATGTGTCTTTTACATCTGTAATTTCCTGTTTTCTTCTCGTTTTACTAACCTCTCATTTGTAACACTGCAGTACATTTGCCACTAACGTCCACCCAGCGAGATACAGCTGCCCCTGGGATGTGTGTTTTTTAACGCCGGGGTTCACCAGCAGCTCGCGCTTAATCAAACCTGATGTTTTCAGTGTAACATGCTGCGAGGATTGCCACGGCTGTCTTCAGTTATTTAATTTAATCATTAATTATGCGGGGTATACCGGGTCAACATCGCATTCTTCCATTAAAGTGGAGTCATAAATGTCTGAATAAATTCTGTGGCCTGAACCAAATTCTCTTTGGAGAATCATCTTTGGATTTCCTACATATTCAGCGGAACATCCTGAGGACACTGTTCTCTGGATACAATATTATATATACTTCAGTTTGTCCATGCAAACAGGAGTATACATGCGGTAAGGCTGGTTTTGGAAAGAACTTAATATTCTAAGATAATTTAATCCTGTCTTTGTGTTGGCATGAAAGCTAAACGTTGTTTATATGAAGAAAAAAAAAAAAAGACTTTTCATCAGTCTCAACTCCACTGCACTGTATGTGTAGGTCAAATTACAACCGGCTGTGGAAAATAGTTGTTTTGTTAAATGCTGTAGGAACAGAAGTAAAACCTCAGCACCAGTGCGCAGTAGCTCTCGTATTCTTCGCAGTAGTCTGAGTCATGTCGGATACAGCAGGTAGATAGCATACTGTGTGCGCTCTAGTTTCTCCGATTGTGACGCTGTTTCTCATCGTGCAGCAAGTGAGTATCATTTTGTACCAACACCAAAACAAAATAGATTAGAATCAGGCAGGAGGCAAACCAGTCTCATTTTGCACTAATATTCACAAATAATCATAACACATTTTATCATCCCTGTTTGACAAGAACGTCAGAATGGAGTCTCAAGAAACCAGTGGATTTAGACTGAATTAACTGATACGTTGAACTCTCATTTAGATCTCATTTCACATGCCAAACACTGGGGGGTTTTTTGTGTTAACTTTAATGGGGGGGGGCAAACAAGTCTGTCCAAAACCCAGGGTAGAGGGCAAAGATCCAGGCCCTAGGCCCCAGGCAACACTATCAGCAGCTCTGACCCCAGTAACCACTCACCTTGTGGTAGTGCTAACCTCGGGCTTTGTTAATGTTTAATCGAAACTATTAGAATGTACTGCGTGTTAAATTTAGGGGCAGAGAGTGGTGGAGTTATCTGGCTGCTGCAGACTCACCGAAAACACTGCAGAATCCGATGATTTGGCTGAATAGCTCAACAAACTGGGATTACGGAACTGAGTGGGAGTTTTTGTGTTTTTTTTAGCAACCTTAATGTTTCCAGGTCCATGTTTGAGTAACAGTTCTCGTTTGGAATCAGATGATTTGATTGACTGACTCGACTTAGTGGACTCACTGTATGAACAACTCGTTAACTAGCTATGATAATTAGTAGTAGTAGTAGTAGTAGTATTGTTATTAGTATTACTATTAGTAGCATTGGCCAACAACAGTGACTCTAGTGCATTGTTTCCCAGAGACTGGGTCGTGACCCTCAGGAAGGTCGCAAGAGTTTTTTGGGGGGGTTTTCTCGCATTTTTTTGGGGGGGGGGGTTTTCTCGCAAGAGTTCACAGTCATCGCAACAGCTGTCTGCATCCAACCTCAAAACAGCTGCCCCTTTAAAAGCTCCACCTGTGGTTATGTCTCTGATTTATTTTCAATAGTGTATAATTAATTATAGCCTATGTATTTATTCTTAACATTATGTCCTATATTTCTGCACACTGGACAAAAGTGCAAAAAGCCATTAATTATAGCCTATGTATTTATTGTTAACATTATGTCCTATCTTTCTGCACACTGGACAAAAGCGCAAAAAGCCGCCACTTACCTCAACTGCGTTCTAGAACCGATTAAACACAATGTAACTAGTACCAAATAGGCTACTTCCTCAAAACAGCTGCCCCTTTAAAAGCTCCACCTGTGGTTATGATTTATTTTAAATAGTGTATAATTAATTATAGCCTATGTATTTATTGTTAGCTTCAACAATAAAATATCCTCATTAATGTCAAATAGGCTACTTCAGGATACCTTTTTTGTAATTCAATTACTGTTTTTCGTTGTTTAAAATTTGAGTAATGCTAATTGTTCAGCTATCACTTGGTCAACAATAAAATATCCTCATTAATGTTCATCAGTGGTCCAGTATACCTTTATTTTGTGATTTAACGAATAATGTTTATTGACTTGGCTCGCGAAGGTTTGTGACTTTTAAAATATGGGTACCCAGAAAAAAAGTTTGGTAAACACTGCCCATACTGAGTGACTGTGCCAGTCAGTGGTCCAGTATACCTTTATTTTGTGACGTTCTAGATAATGTTTATTGACTTGGCTCGCGAAGGTTTGTGACTTTTAAAATATGGGTACCCAGAAAAAAAGTTTGGTAAACACTGCCCATACTGAGTGACTGTGCGAGGGACCGAGTTCATAACATGAACCGAGTTTTAATACCAACCATTCTGTCAGCGTCGGTGACTGGAGAGTTTTGAAAACCTCCCCGTCCCTGGTTCCCCTCGTCTCTGGTTTCCTGCTTTAATCTCTCGTCCAATCAGAATCCAGTAAAAGCTTGAAAGGGCGTTTCCTGTGTTGTGTTTGTGGACGTGAAAACTCCTGGTGGAAGAAGGAGTTTGAAGAGGAGCCGCGGGACTGTCACGTCCCAGATTTCTGACTGCTTTACAGCTTTATTATAGCGTAGACAACAGCTGTGGGCCAGGTTCTTGAACGCCGATGCAAAAAAAAGAAAGAAAAAAAAAACTTTTGCGTGTTTTAAGGACATTAACTGGAATACTGTGCAGCGGTAAATGAGCAATTTGCAGGCGGGTCCAGTCGGGGGTGCTGCTCGGCAGGAAGTCCGCCGGTGTGACTGCGTGGATATTTGAAAACCAAACAGATCTAAAAGACAGCCCTGAACCTGGAAGACAAATAAAGACAGACGCTCCTCTTCCGTAGCCTGCGTGTTACACGGTGGATTTCGTAACTTTTTCTCTGGAAATGGTAGGCAGGTTGAACTTGCCAAATGTATGTGAAGGAGAGCCGCTGGATATGAGCTGCAGGGCTGACAGAGGACTCGACAGCCCGGACTCGGGTTTACCCCCGAGCCCCAGCTCTTGGCTGCTGCAGCCGCCTGTGTGTGCGGACAAAACCAGAGGTGTCAGCCCGCTGTCTGAGGACGAAGGTCGGGGTACCCTGGTAGGTGGCGCTACTTTCATCCGCTAGGAACAGAAAGTTAGAAATTAGAAAGTGTACTTGGAGCACATTCCCTTGAAAAGTGTCAAACTTCGCTACAGAGTCAAAAAGAGAACGTAAACAAACTGAAATATAAGATGAAATTTGGAAAATGCTAAAGGTTAGCCCAGAGACAGGTAAAAAAAAGTTCTGGTAAACTTACTTCTAAATCTACAAGTTAACAAAACTGCGAATGATGACAAAAACATAACTGTAATGAAGATCGACTTCGTTCATCTGAAGAGGTACGAGGTGTGATAATATCCAATGAAATGTAAACGAGTTAAAGGGCCAAATCCACGTCGTAAATGAGGGGTCCCAAACCCTGGTGCTGGAACTGGTGCCAGTCCATAGATCATATGGTACTGGACCGCATTAGGACAGAGGGAATAAAATGTACTTCAGTTTTACTAATTTACTTCATTCCAAAAAACTCCAGTCATAAATTTACTTTTTTCATTAAAAGATAATCTGGTAATGTTTCAAAACAACAGCTCATTCAGACTCTGATACTGAACAGAATAAAGTCTAAAAGAGGTTTTATTTTGAAAATGTTAATGATCCTTCAATGATAGCGTGGTATTGCCGGTCCACAGTAGCGGCTGATAGCAGCCAACCGGTCCTTGGTACAAAAAAGTTTGGGGACCGCTGTACTAAATACTATTTTTCTACCCACAATTGGACCAATCATTTTATTAAAAATATATATTTCTACCATCAGGCAAATTGTCAGCAGGATAATAATTGCCAGGTCACATGAACATTAAGCTAAAACGCTTCTGAGCCCACAAACTAACAGTCTAAGTCGGAGTGATATGTTTACTCACAATAGCTCTGTTATAGACCTAACGCTCAAGAAGTCGTGTTTCAAAGGTGACAAAGCTAATACACAAATACGCAATTTAAATCTGTTTAATGCTCTTTCACATCTATCAGCACTTCCTCCTTGGTTTGTTTTGGTTGATGCATCTGGTTTATGTGGGTGGTCCTGTTTTTTTTTTTTTTTTTTTTTTTTTTTTTTTCTTAGCCAGCTTAAGCTCCTCAATGAAAACCATTAGCTCTGACTGGACTGTTTCTTCAGGCTACTGCAGGAAGGTTGAGATGCAAATGGATATAGAAGAATGTTTTCAGTGCTTTGCACAAAGGGAAACCACTGTACACACACACACCCTCTGACAATCCCAATGTTACAGCACAAGGTGGTTTTGCCGTTGAGACATGCTAAATGTTACACAATTGTATTTTTCAAATTGTTTTCCTAACTGGGGAGCCAGGCAAACAACTCCAAACCACAATTGAATTTATTTTTAAATGGATACGGAGGCTGTCAGACTGATATCCAGTTGTTTTCGCAAGTGTGAGCAAATGGTAGAGTTGCCACTCATCCTGACAAAATGACATTGTTGTTGGTTTGATTGCACACACAGAGCGTCTTGCAATAATTGTACACCGCAGTCACTGGGTGCAGGTTATTGTTGCTGAGAAAAAAAGCTGTTTTCTTTTTTTTTTCTCTTGGCATTAAACTGCCTGTAGAAATTCTTGAAATGATTTTCTATAAGTTGTGGCTGGCCCTGAGAAGAAAGTAGGTCAGATCAGCACTCTGGCTGTGCCAGCCAGAACTTTTATAGCATAATTGGCTCTCTTTCTCTGTGTGTGTGTGTGTGATAACTCTGCTGCTGCTTGATTCCTGCGATGCAGTTTCCAGTTGTACCCTCTGGAGCCGTTCCACTGCTTCAGACATTGTCTTTTGGGGAGGGCATATCCCTGGATCCGTTACCACCGAAACAAATGAGGTGGGTAATTGTTTGTAATGAGCAGGACTGAACGTGGTGAAAGTGTCAAAACAATCGGAAAATCCCACCTGAAATGTTCAAGCTCTTACATGTCACACCTCTACGCAGATACACCGCGTCGGTGCATTACAATTCGGACCGCCACTTCATCCAGAAGGTGGACCTGCAGCCGTCGGGCCGCGGCCTTGAAAGCTGCAGGCAGACTATCGTGGCCGTGCCCCACAGCACCTGGCGCCACTACAAAACACAGCTGGATTTCCAGCCTCGCCAGCAGCTGCAGCGCTTCGGGAGCACCACCATCATCTACCCGAAGAAAACGAGCGCCGTTTTCACCACGGAGCTGAGCTACGACTGCCACCGGCTGTCCAGACGTTTCCTCTCCAGCGTGGAGCTGGAGGCGGCTGGCCACAGGAAGCTACCTCAGTAAGGATGGGGCCAGGTGGCAGGGAACCAGCAACGGTGATCATTCCCCATGACCCTGTGTACGCCGTTTCCTCCGACGGCTGGCTGTCACTAACCTGCTGTGCTGTATGTTTGCAGTTGTGTAGCTTTTAATCCTTTTTTTTTAAAGAACGATCTAAGCTGTGGACAGAGTGCATTTGTGGTGTGATGTTACTGATTACAGAAGGTGCATTTAGGTCCTCTTTGAACCGATCTGTCCTTTGGGAGCGCATAGTACAATTTGTAACTTGTTACAGTACTTTTTCTTAAAAAAATAGTTTTATTGTTGCTCTTAGTTCTGGTTCTAACTTACATGGAAAGAGATGAGGTAAGTGCACGTCAGTGCTGGTTGTTATTTGGAACTAAACTAGGAATTAAAGCAGTGAGGCTTGTTTGGTTTCATAGAAGTTCATTGTAAGAGAAAATGTTCTTCAAACAAAGGCTTTAAAGCAAGTGGTTTGTAGGAAGAGAGTGAGTGTGGGTGTGGTGTTTAAGGACATGCTGAAAAATCACAAACTTATCTACAGAGGTGACTGGAAGGCTTATCCGCATTATTATTATTATTTTTGTATTGGTTTCTGCACAATATGTCACTAGTTAAGCTCTTCCTCAGCCTTTTTCCCCCCCACCCTCCTCCCACTTTACAGCTGTGATTTATCATGTATTGTTGTACATTTCACGTATTTAAGGGAACATCTCTGGCGATCACAAATTGTTTGCTGAAAAAAGGCTCGGATCAAAAGCTGAGAGTTTTTTGATCGAGACTGAGGTGTTCCCCGTAAAGGTTGATTTTTATCTTTCACTGGCTTATGTCGGGAATAACGAGCTGCATTCCACTGCTATCACTTCTTGGCTGGATTGGAATTTTTATTTATTCTGTCGAAGTTTTAGGATGTAGTTTTTTTCAGCTATGTAATAAAGCTCATGGAAATATTTGTGAGGCCCAGTGTGGCTTATGGATCTGTTGATGCTTTTTTTTTTTTTTTACTTTTCCAGTGCCTGTTTGAAATAAAGTATTTGGTATTTTATCAACAATGTTGTTTTTTTTTAATGCATTCTTTGTTTTTGTGTTTATTGTTTTGTGTGACTGTCTAACGCAAAATAATACACACATTATTACACAGAGAAATTCAAATTGAAAAAGAACTTCCTCAACCAACCATCTAAAATGTTAAACCCCAAAATTTACATGTAAACCTCCAGGAAAGATGGTTGTCCCACCGGTTCTTCCGGTAGATTAATTATATAGGCTGAATGAGTCAGTCACTACTTGATATTTAGAGCAACGGCAGTTTAAAACCCGCGACCCTACACTGCTTTCTACAAAAATATACAATACAAAAAATATACAATATACAAAATAGATAACTTTTTGAAAATAAACGTATTTGTAAATGAAATATACAATATACAAAATAGATAACTATTTATTTGAAAATAAACGTATTTGTAAATAACCAAATATCTACTCATTTTTAATATCTAGTTATGACAGCATAATAAAGCATAGAACCCAGAAATCAAACATTATCGGAGTTCTACAGTGTTCATGCAGAACTGCGCCTTGATTTCGGCTATATCAAAACACCATACGTTGCTTGATCTCAAATTATAAGGAAAACCGTTTACAAAAACAAAATCTGCTGAAAACTACCTGTGATGCTATGTTGATACGCATTTTAACGCAGTAAATCATATTTACTCTCAAGGTCGTGATGGCTGCACTTATCAAAACTGTACAGTAGATGGCAGCAAAGGCCCAAAGAGCTGGTGACGCTTTCAAAGGAAGCCACTGAAACAGTAGAACGAGTACATGTATACAGTAATTTGCGAAGAAGAAGAAGACGCAGAAAGAGTCGCTTATTACTTATGTTTTTTTATTAAACCCAGCTGACCACGCGCTCAGTATGTGGCGCTGCAGGGCTTTCTTTTATATAGCGCGTATTTAATTGGACAACAACATGTAAAATTACAACGTTTTTATCCGTAAATTTTGCCCACATCTGGACTGTTGTAGCTAGCTGGCTAGCGCTGCATTCGGAGAAGCATGAGGACCTGTAATGGAAATACGGGCGTTATGGAGCTGTTTGAAAAGGGGAAAGTGGTGAAAATATGTGCCCCTATGGTTCGATATTCAAAGTAAGTGACGTTTCCTTTCTTTCATTCTTTACTGAGCATTTCTAACAGGGAGAAATAAACATTTTAAACGCTAGACGGCTGCTATAGAACTATTTTAATAAAACATTATTGGAATAAAAGCGGTTCTTGGTACATACATAATGACATACGATCACTTCGGTTACACCAGATACTATAAAGGCTATACAGCTACTGTAAATTTTCAGGAGAAGTTTGAAGACGATGCAATGATTATATTTATTTGTTTATTACAGGCTTGCATTCCGAACGTTGGTTAGAAAATACAACTGTGACATCTGCTTTACTCCAATGATTGTTGCTGCCGACTTCATGCGATCGACTAAAGCTAGAGACAGTGAATTCACAACCAATGAACGTGAGTGTAATAACCCATTATACAACTAATATTAAGTTAAATTCCAACACAACTTCAAGTGTACACACACATACATATTTAGTTAACAGCAATGCATAATTATGTTTTAGAGCTATTGTTTTTAATGTCAGCCATCTTTTGAATCTTCAGGTGACCGGCCCCTAATTGTGCAGTTTGCTGCTCATGATGCCCAGACTCTGGCTGATGCAGCCTGTGTAGTGGCACCTTTTTCAGATGGTGTTGATCTTAACTGTGGCTGTCCCCAGAGGTATGATTTTTGAAAATACTTGTTTGGTCTTGTATCATGTTTTATATTTGCAGAGAAAAACAAAATTATAGAAATTCACTGCATAAAAATGTATGTATGATTATTTTTAAATTTTGTTTACAGGTGGGCTATGTCTGCAGGGTATGGCGCATGCCTTATCAAGAAGCCTGAACTAGTCAAAGACATGGTCAGACTTGTCAGGAACCAGGTGGACAATCCAAAGTACACAGCATCTATCAAAATAAGGTAAGAAAAAGGGATCCAAAGTTCATATTTGACTAGAACAAGCCTAGCGATCTACGTCTTTTGTATATTAAGGGACATTAAAGACCATTCTGATAGCCAGTGTTGTTATCCTGGTTTGCACAGAATTCACAAGGACCTAAGGAAGACGGTAGATCTGTGCCAAAAGGCTGAATCAGCGGGTGTGTCGTGGATCACTGTCCATGGTCGTACAGCAGAAGAACGTCACCAACCAGTCCATTATGATGCCATTAAGACGATTAAGGACAGTGTGTCTGTACCTGTCATTGCAAATGGGGACATAAAGTACCTGGAGGATGTGGAGTCTACTTACCAGGTCACTGGTGTTGATGGTAAGTCCATTTTTGTTAAATGTGTGTGTTTTATTGCGTGATGTGTACTTATGATAAACACACCAGATTCACCTAGTAACCTTTTTTTTTAATTTTTCCTCTTTTCTTTATCAGGTGTAATGGTGGCACGGGGGTTGCTGGCTAACCCTGCCATGTTTGCTGGATATAATGACACCCCTTTGGAATGCATATGGGACTGGGTGGACATTTCTATAGAGCAGGGGACTCCATTTACCTGTTTCCACCACCATCTTATCTACATGCTGGAGAGGGTCAGCTCCCAGCCAGAGAGAAAAGTGTTTAATTCTCTGTCCAGTACCTCAGCGGTAATAGACTACCTCCAGAACACTTACGGGTCAGTTGATGATTTGGGAACCTCGCCATGCTGAAGTGTTGTGTTTTTAAATTTCCTTTGTGCCAAATAAAATTTTAAAAATTATAGTTGTGTCAATGATCTTTGTGCAGATTTTTGTTCATTGTTTAAGTCTCCTTTTCTCTCATTTGTTCATTAGGAATTACCTCTTCACACATTCATTTCTTTAAAGTTACATAAAAGATTTAAAGAGTAAAAATGAGCAGTGTTAAAAATAAAAATAAATACCCACATAGCATTAACAAGTTTGACATGTTTTTATATGTTCTTTTAGTGTTGACAATTTCCCTGATATGACTTTTGACATTTGATTCACGTAGATTGCCTACATGTTCTCAATACAGAATACTACAAGTACTTGTAAATATTTTCGTTACTGTATGATTAGCTGGGTACACCTGACAAAACTGATGCAACCATGAGAAATGAAATCCAAGGTATTATGGAGTTCAGTTAACGTTGTTATACTCGCCGCAATACCGCAACGGTCGTATTAACTTCAAAATAAAAAAACCGATGTGGTACAGGTGTGTAGTAAAACACGTTTTTGTCAGGAGAAAATAAAATAATAACGAAACACGTAGACTCAAATAGTAAAGTTTGATAAATATCTTAAACGCAAACCTTTTTATTCTCCATATTCAGATGGGTTATCGCGCAGCTGTCGCGATCATCTTTTATTTTTAAAGTCGCGACAGGAAGTAGAAGTTTTTAATCAGCTACACTGAAACAGGAAGCTGTGGCTAAAGAAACTTTTTCGTATGTGTTTTCCTGTCTCCTAGTGTATGTGAATTTGTCGGTAAGTTTTGTTTTTTTCCTGTGTTGTGACAAGAATTTAACACTCATGCTAGTGATTTTAATCTTATTGTTGGCTGGTTATAGTGTAGACATGTTGAGCTAACATTAGCACGAGTATTTTATAACACGCATTTGACAATTCGTACTGAAAGTGTATAATTTCTAGTCACTTTTCAAACCTAAGTTGATACATTATTTTTGCTGTGTATCTCGTATTGTTTTATACATAGCAAATATTACATGATTTTATTGTTGCAAAAAAAATGCAGTGGGTAAGAAGGTTTAAGTCACAGTGTGTTACGCCCCCTGAAGAATTTTAAGCTGTTACCCAAGGCTGTACAGGTTGAAGTGCAGCCAGCTGCTTGGTTCGAAATTACGGAAAAAGACCGGAAGTGCTCACCTATTGTAATGTGCACAAAATCGTGATTGGCAGTTTATTGCTGTTATATCTTCATATAACAAGGCTGCTTAAAATACTTGGAAAAGTACTTTATTATTTGTTAATTTAGTATGTCACAGACGTATATATCGGATAAAATGTAGTAAATGTTGTCTTTCCTTTTTCGAAGAATTTACCGACCAAGATGACACTTCAGTGGACAGCTGTGGCCCTCTTTCTTTATGTCGAGATCGGCATCCTTGTCATTCTTTGTTTACCCTTCATCTCTGCCAAAAGGTAGGTCCACTGAGCATCAGGTGCATTTGTGGATGGTTTTCTTCTCTTGGCAACAGAAATAACAAGGTTGTTTGTATCTTTTGTACAAAAAATAAATACATTTTACACTGCCCTGTGTGTAAATAATGGTTCACGATTATTTGCAGATGGCAAAGTATTTTCCATCTGAGGATCTGGGGCTTCATGGCAAGATTCTGGAACAAAGTTTTCCTAACCATGATCATCGTACTAGTCGTTCTTTTTCTGGGTAAGTGTTAACTGAATAAGTTTCATTGTGAACTTTGGTGGAGCTGAACTGGAGATTAGTTTTTCATAATCCTGCAGTGAGGGCTGTACCACCTGAATTGAAGTTTTGAAATTTGCAATGTTGTGTTCCCTCTTGTTCAGATGCTGTCCGTGAAGTTCGAAAGTATTCAAGTAAGGAAGCGGATACCAGTGCAAAGCTACAGCCAAACATGTATGACCACCTGCACATGAAGCTTTTCCGAGCCCAAAGAAACCTCTACATCTCTGGTTTTGCAGTTTTCCTTTGGCTGTGAGTTTGCACTAAAAATGCATTAAATGACTAAAAATAACTGCAACCACAAGGTTTTCCCTTGAATGATAACTTTGTTTGGCCAATTGTGTATTCGCAGGGTGATGAAGCGAGTGGTCACCTTAATTAACCAGCTGGCTACAGTGTCCTGCACCACGGCTGAGTTTCAGGTTCAGGCTGACAAGGCAAACCAGACGGCCAAGAAATACATGGAGGATAATGAACTTCTCAAACAGGTTGAGTGCCAAACTGGTTCAGTAACAACTTTATGAACAGCTCCTGCCTTTCTCCTGATTAAAAAACATGACTTGATTTGCAGCTAATGAAGTCACTTTTGACTCCATTGTGTTTTTTTTCATCATATTGTCATCATTTAAATCTGTATTCCAGACTCTAATGGAAGGAAAAGGAGACAAAGCTACGGCCACCGGCATGGAGTTTCTGCGGAATGAGATGGAGAAACTGAGACAGGAATTGAAGTCCACAGAAGAAGGTTAGAACTAAAAAAGAAACATTCTCCTCCAAATTAGTTTTTGTCCCATCCCATGATTTAAGTGAATAAAGATATAATTTACTGATGTGTGACATTAATATTGTTTTCTCTCCAGCCCTGAAAAAGTCTCAGTCTGAGGCAGAGGTGATGAAGCAGCAGTCGGAGGGTTTGGCCAGGGAGTACGACCGACTGTTGAATGAACATCAGGCGCTCCAGGTAATGTCGGTAAAATACAGTAATGGATCTTCCCAAATTTACAGCTGTGTATATGTTTACATTATATTTGTTGTCTTTTTAAAAACAAATCTTTTTTTCTTGACACCTTTGTGTAGTTGAGGGATATTTTCTTTTCATTTATATGTTTTATTCGTTTTCCTATCTGTACTCATTATAGACACATTTCATTTATATGTTTTATTCGTTTTCCTGTCTGTACTCATTATAGACAGACACACAATATAGATAGATAGAACTTTATTAATCCATCGATAGATCTTTTATTACGAAATACCATAAATATGGTGATAAAATTTGTTCTGAAAATCTAACTTTAGTTGCCTTACAAGTCAGTTCAATTATGTTTGACCATATATATTATTTGGAAATCACAAATGTACCATTGACGGACAAATAAAGATAGTCATATCCCTATGATCACTTAAATAAATCAGGCCAGTGTAAACACAGTCAGTTGGTTGTTCATAGTAATGCACAAAGTGCAACATTTTGTAAATGGATGTTTAGCCTCTTTCTCTCAATCTGAAACATAAGTCATGATTAGGTTGTCTTCACCTTTTCCATTTATGTTCATTTGTAAATAACTGACATTTTCTCCTTCCGTGTTCACAGAACATCCAGGACAGCGGAGACAAAAAGGACGACTAAATATTACAACAAATTAGTGCAACTGTTTACACGGCATCAGTCATCTATAAGAGAGCTTTGACAACACACACACACACGTACACACACCTACACACCTTTTTCTTTTGATATTACACGTGGTGTCATAGAGCTTATTCACAAACTCTTTACAGCGCCCAAGAAGGAAAGACCTTTGACTGATATCACTTCTGGTTTTTAAAGCATGAAATTTAATTAATATCAGAGCACATTTTGATTTAATTTTTTTTGCACAGTTTTTTGGGCAGATGAATTTAGATGCAGGTTTTTCTGTTAAGCCTTTTTTGTCATTGATTAAAGTACTGTTCCCGGTATAGTCTTTTTTTTTCTCCACCACTTTGAATGTATTTTTTACACAGATTTTTCCTTTACCTCTGTATGTATTTAGATTAGGCTGTTGTTTCTAAAGTTCTCAGAGTCAGTCATTTAATCATCTATATTTTCTTCTTATATTTTTTTATCTGTGTTTTTAAGCCACATTGTTACAGTGCAAAGTTAAAGGAGGGCATTTTTTCCGTTTCCTGTTCTACTCCTGTTTTAATTTGTAAATGCTGACATAATTCCTCACATGCAAAATAAAAATAGATCATTAGTGACACCGATCTTGTAACGCTGTTATCTTATCAGATTAACATATGAAAAGTCTTCATGTTCTATATTTGTTCAACTGTATGTTTTACAGTAAGCACTGTAGTTGATTTGAATTCTTCGAGTGAATATATTTTTGCATGAAGAACACACGGAGCCTTGACACTGTGACAGGAGATTTGTTTTTGAACTGGCTGTGAGTCCAGTTTTCAGTTTGAAAAAAAAATAAAGTCACCATGTGTCATGCTGCAGGCATGAATCATATTTTTTTGTCTACTCTTGTGTGTGTAGGTGTGTAAGTCTTCAGCTACACACCTGTTTGTGTTTGATTATGCAGGTGTGTTTTAACCACAAAATGAGACAAAGGTCAGTTGTTCTAAAGCACTTGATGTAAACCTAAGTACAAAGTCTCTGATTTTATCTAAGTTAACTTAAATAAGGAAGGACTATAGTCCTGTCTTTACAAGCCATGAATCAGAATTTAGGGAAAAAATATATACATATATTTAATTTCTTTACCTTATTTTTTGCAGAAATTTAGTCCTATCATCACTATAAATTCACACCACGGTCATTAAGTCACCTCTTAAAAAACAACACAATTAAATTTAAAAAAACACCACACCACGGTCATTAAGTCACCTCTTATATAAAAAACACAATTAGATTTAAATGACAAATTATTTGTTTAGGTTCCTGTTTCTTTTTATTTATTTTATTACATGAAAAATATTCTTTGAAATTTTACAAAAAATATTTTTTTAAAAATTACATTCACAATGAATGCAGAAAAATGTCACGTGTGACCGACTTGTTTCATGCACATCTTTTCATTGCACCTGAGTCTGCACTTATGGTCACCTGTGCCTGATTCTGAACCTGAATTCAAAAGACAATACAGTCACAACAAACTGGCACATTAAATAAAATGCACACAAAATCTTCTAAACTTTTTAAAATACAAATCTCTTAGGTAACACCAGTGGTTCCAGAAAAATACTTTGGTCTGACTCCACAGAAAAGTGATTCTGACGTAGAGAGAATGAACTTAAAATTAAAACTAAAAAATACTTTTTTTAAAGTATGTGTGCTGCACAAAGAATTATGCACATGAGGCTGGAAAAAACAAATAAAAAAAAAACAACTTAACAGTGAAATACTGTTGCTTAGATTAGTGGTATTAAAGAGGATTTACACAACTGCCACACAAATACACTACAATTGTCACACACTGAGATGTATTTTATTGGAGACAAAAGTCTGTCTGAAAACTTAAACATTTGCTTCAGATATACCATTTTATACCTATCACTGCAAAATATACTGCCTTCACTCAGTCATTGTCTTATGCTGACTGAGTATTCCTATTTGTTTTTTTACAAATATACCCTGCAAATCTATGATACACTGCCACCGTGTGGCAGTAAGTAGTCCTGCTTTCTGTACTTAGAAAGAGGAACTCGCTCAAATTTGCATTAGTGAATGCCGACTCATATTGACATCCAAATAGATCAGAACCCATGGTAACAGACGCACCACTACCTTTCTTCCAGGTATAAAAGAAAAGTTCTAGAATCAAACAGAAAAGCAACTTTGTCGTCAAACATTCACATCGGAAAGTCAAAAATACATGAACAATTATCCAGTAAATCAGGTTTCTACTATTGAAAAACAAACAAAAGAAAAGGCACATGTTTAAGAGGTAATAGTTGAGTGAGGCAGATTTGATTAAACGTTACTGAGAAATATGTGTTTATACCGAGGGTCTGTGTGTTAACAGAGTTAAGTTAAAACAGTTTTCATCACTGACTGACAAAAAGACTGCTGCAGCTCTCACATGCACCGGAACAGAAAAGTACTGACAAGGACAGAACAATCATGAGAGATACTTAACGCTTTATATATTTATCTTAAATCTCTTATTTTAAAGAGTTAACACAGTTAGTTGCAACTACTTTATTTTTATTAGGTATGGCTCGGTTCGATACTCGAATCAGTATCAGTCCTGTATTGGTCAAAATTTTAGAACTGAACATCGAAAAACAACACTACAGCCCGTCTGATCCAACACCTAAGGCCAAATACTTTGTGCGACGTCTTAAACAAGGACACTATCGCCTCGGCAACGGCAGCCCGCGCCATGTTTGTGGAGCTATGCTATTAGTCTCTAAAAGGCTTTGTGTCCAAATGATCTTTTTTTAACTTCATAATACATTAATTGTTGAACATGTCATCCAGATATAAGGCCACTTAACAGTTATACACGTGCCTGGGAAAAAAAAGGTATTCAGAATATTTTGAGGCAACATCATAAATGCTGGTGTTTCCATAACGATATGGTTTTTCAGCGGAGTGAACAATTTCACATTTTTGTTTATATATTTTCTTGCATTGCTTTATAAACTGTAAAATAAATACTATGTCCTGAACAGGAATATGAAAGTACATTCAAGAAATGCTCTAGCTTCATATCAAATCTCTTGTCAAATGCTCAACAGATCCAGCAGTACAAAATATAGGATTTACACTAGACATGAGATTATACAACTTTTTTTTTTTTTTTTTTACTTTTTTTGATTCCCTGCAAACCTTATTTGTGTACGCCCATGTGTACTGTATCACTGCAAAGTGTGTGTGTGTGTGCGCAATTCATATGAATGCATGGATTCATGTGTGTTTGAGAGAAAACTATTTGCCGAGTCTGTCACAGCCGGGTCTCTCTGTCTGTGCTGTTTTCTGATATCTGTTGTAATTGGTCAGAATTAGAAATCACAAACTCCTCCTTCCTGAGCGCCTCCAGCTCCGCATTGCCGTTGGCCAGGGCTCCGTGGATTCCATTTCTCTCCTCCTCCTTCAGTTGTCGCCTCAGCAGGATGAAGCCCGGGATGCAGATGAGGAAGGAGACGGTCCTCAGGCCCAGAGTCAGGCCCAGGTACGCAACCCTGGGAAGTGTGCACGACATTTGAATAACTTTTTGTTAAACACAGGAAACAGAAGAGGAAGGCAGAGAGTCCTGGGTTCGATTCCCATAGGATCCACATAGCCTCCAGGGGGGCAGCGTGTTGCACTAGATCTGCTGTTAATTTCCCTAGTAGTAAAAGGCAAGTTAATTAATTAACTCAATTGACATGATCATTTGTAATTTATAATGGAATTTTATTCTGATTTCCAGTTTTTGATCCATCAAAATGACAGTCACTCTATTCTATTTTATTTCATTTTTTGTGGATTTCAATTCATTTCGTGCCTGCTTTAACGCATCTGCCTGGCTTTGAGCCCCGGAGGAACCACATAATTGGTGCCTCATGTTGGGCAGCCTGTTGCAGCAGATCTGTTGTTAACACAACTTTCTTTTCATGTTTTTTTACTGTACAGCTAAGTACGACATTGATGCCGTTTACATTTGAAATTAAAAAAAAAAAAGTACCGTATATGTTGAATCAAATCCATGTGTGTACCTGTATGTGGTGGTGTTGTACACTCTACAGGCTCCTATGCCTCCGCACCTCTTCTGACCCCATTTCAGACATGTGGTGTCGATGATGGCTCCGAAGTAAATAGGAGCTGGGATCCCTGCTGTGGAATCACAGGCACTTTTCATTATCATGTTCCTCGGAGCAGCTGCAGCACTTTATTTATATACAGTTTATTTGGATTTTTATTTCTTGCTGTTGCCGGTGTTTCCAGTGTATTCAACACTCAGATGATCAGTTCAGCTAGTGTCACTTCACGTGTGCTCAGAAGAGTGTTAAATGGCAATTACCGAGGGTACGTGTCGCCAGAGTGTGAAAACCCAAGGCCAGAGACTTCAGCTGAGGTTTTATACATCTGTGGGAGAAAAAAAAAAAAATTCAGTAAAAATCAGGAAATCTTACAAAAAAATTACACAGGAATCTGATTGTTGCCATTAAGGACCAGGCAGGAACACAAACTGCTCTTAAAACCTTTAAATAACATTAATAATAAGTGCAATTTTCTGAACCTCACTGTTCAAGTTGCTGTTTCTGTTGGTTGGAAATAACAGTCAAAGCCTCGGACTCTGAGCTTTTCATTTACTTAAATGTTATTTTTGAAGCTTCAGCAGCGAACATCTGACATTTCTTTAATTTTTATCAGATCATCCAAATCAGAGCTGCTTTGATTTTGGGTGACATGAACAATTTCTAGACTTTCATCTTGTACTTCTCTGTCTGACAGTGTTCTGTTTGGGAAATAAAGTAATGAGATAATGTTATCAAGCACAAAGGCACAATAACACAGAATGTACTGTCTGAGCAGCGGAAACATGTTTGACATCATCGATAATCATTATCTCCAGTTTGAGTTTGACAGACACAGAGGAAGCCACTAAAGAAGGACGTGAGGAATGTTTTGACACTAAGTATTTGTTTTATTAACCCCCACCCCTTTGTCTTCACTTGTTTACTGTCAAGAAAAATGGAAGTTTGCAAAAGCTGGAGAAACATAACTTTTCATTACTCCAGATTTCACTTTCTGGTTGTGTTTAGTGTGAAATAAACCTAAACAAATAATGGATTACAGCTCTGGTATATACTGGATTTTTTTTAAAAATCATTAACATTTTTATCAGATGTTTTTTGCTTCAAAATTTTCAAACTTAAGAAACAATAAAAACAGGTTTTCTACAAAACACTTTTCAATATTCCTCCCAGTAAGATGATGGTTAATATGTCACAGTGCATTTAAAACATTTTTTAACAAAAAATACAAAAACCCTAACCCTAAAGTTTGCCTCTATTTTTCCAATGGTATAAAAATATTGATATTGGTAGTGATATTATCATCTGACCTGATGAGTAGCATGTAGCCTGGTGTCCCACCGAGAGAGATGATGAAGGACGTGATGACGGAGAGAGCCAGGAAGTAGGGGAACATCCTGTCGCAGTCGTCCTTCTGAGGGCACTGGCCGGTGCTGGCAGTGAAGTTACCAACGGCACCGACGCAGCTGCAGTTAGAGAAGACCTGGACAAACACATCGAGTTGAATGTTGTGAGTGCAGCGGGAGAGAGACGAGCAGAGAACAGCAATCATGATTGATGAGAGGGCCTTTGTCCGATTTTCTTTGCACTGAACTGTTGTGTTTCGCAGTAACAATAAAGGGTATATTTCTAGTAACAGTACACCTCAATACTGTATATATGTTGTGAATTTCCCCACTGTGGGACCAATAGGGGACTTAAGCTATGCTTCTTTTCACCCCTTTTTGAATATGTTATTTATTTTCTTCGGTTTATGCTTAGAAGTAATTTGGAAGCAGTACAAACAAACACACATCTTTTATTAGTAAGTTTGAAAATGAATAAATCCTGTTCATCATAGGGCACACAAAAAGTGAAATTTCTTAATTCATATCAATTAAAAATACAAACAAATTTTGGGTAATATTTTAAAAATTGAATGTACTGGAGTGTTAGCATTCTCATTAGCTGTGTGCAAGAAATAATTAACTAATAGAAATGGGGTAAAAACACCCAAATTGACTAATAAATACAGATTTGAAATTAGTTTTTCAATATAGAGATATATTCCCATATATTGATTGTGTGTAAATAAAATGATGAATTGACAGACTCTTCACCCCTCTTCATCATCTTTCTATTTTATGTTACAGTGTTTTGTGTGACATATTTAAGATATAGTTTGAAGTATATTTAAAGTGTATATATGAGCACCGTGTCCACTTACGGTATTTTTCCCTGAGCCAGCAGAGCTTCTGCAGCCGGCCAGACAGGCGGAGATGTAGGTGACGCCGTTGTCTCCACACACTGGGTCCCACTCACTGGCTGAACAAAAGCAGCCGGAATTGCAGGATGTGAACACTTGGTGTTTGTCATAAGATATTGCCTCCATGCTAGAGGAAGAGAAAGAGACATTTGGTCTTTTTTTGATTTGTCTTTTAACAGATTACACAAGAAACATGAACTATGAACATTGGTCGATGTTTTCTGTAGAAATTAACGTATTAATGTCTTGTCTAGTAATGGAGATACAGTTGATGGGTTGTGCATTAATTGCACACTGCATGACAATACACATGCAACCATTCACTGTTGCCATGAACCTGTAATGACAACAGTTTAACCAGCAGCTAAATCTTTACTGTAGAGCATACATATCAAACTCAGGCCTGGGGGCCAAATCTGGCCCGCACTGAAGGTATTAGAGTTGGCCCGCCAGAATATAGCCCCTATATAGGATTTTTTATTTCTCATGTGTTTATAATAGTTTAATAGTAATTTTTTATTTCTCATGTGTTTATAATATAATATTCTAAATTACATATCTGGAGAGAAGGGAAAACATGCACAATTGTAGTCATTTTTTTAAAGTTTGGCCCACATCTTCGCCCTACTTGTTAATTTTGGCCCACTGTGAATTGCTATAGAGACTCAGCAGTACTTTAAAAAATATGTTTTATTGCTATTTGTTTCAGCAGATTCCTCTTAACTTTCAAACTTCTTTGTTGACATTTGTCACATTTTGTGTTCTATAAACACGTGTTTATTTATGGAATGTATGGTAGATCATTTTATTTCGAAAGATTCTATGTCCCATGTGTTCTGCTGTTCATTTGGTTAGGTCTCAGTCTTTCAGTTAGTCTGTTTAACCAATTAACCAATCAGTGCCTGTCAAAGATAAGCGTAAACCACCCACGGGATTCTGGGAAAAGGGGTGGGAAAAAAGAAGGAAGAAGACCGAACTGGAGAGAAACACAAGTTCGGTTGTAGAGCTTTTTTTTTTTTTTTTTTTAACCTCGCCGCAGTATTAAAAGTCGTCCAACTAAGAATGGTACGTCGCAATTCATAGTTGGACAAAAGAGACTATGTGTGGGCAACTTGCGCCAAGTTACTGAGATACGTTAAGTAAATGTGGGTGTGTGCATCGCGAATGTCCGGGGATGGACTATTGAACGCCGCTCTTTTCGGCATTTGACTTTTGAACAACCGGTCTTTCTTTTCCCTTGCATTTCTGTATTTACTCTAAACTTTATTGTGAAATAAACTTTAAATTGCCACCAAATCCTGGTGGTCATTCTCCTGATTCAGTGCCGAAGTTGAGACTTGTTTGGTAGAAACCTGTAGGGGGCAGTAACTGCATCCGGGGTGGGTTGATACCTCTTATACTACGCAGGTAGCAATGACTACTGTAATGGGTGCTTGAAAGGCCTCACTGTTATCGTTATCGGATCCCCCCATTTTATTGCGCTATTCCCACAAAATGGCAAGTTTGAGGAAGCGGCTGTGAAGCGAACTTGTCTTTTTATGAATCAGTGAGTACAGAAAACAACAAACAAACATTTTACGAACTTAGCTCAAACAAGCACGCCAACGACATTTGACCGTAACTGGTGTGTATTAAAGATATGCATTAGTCCATGTAAAGTAACCAGGCCTCTCTGTCATGTTTCAGTTAAAGATATATACAGAATTTTATATTTTAGTAGAGTCCCTTCAATTTGCCTCTCATGCTCAAGGTGTCATTGGTGTTTAAGGGTATTCCATGACAATTTAATAAAATTGGAATTGAGGAATGGCAACATGTGTGGGCCAATATTTTAATGACCTATATTTTGTTACTGTTCCTTAGAGTTGTGAGCAAATGTGGAAAACGTAAATGGTAACTGAGGCAGCCATAGCTATGTAATTGGTTGGAAGTGTGGTTTTTGTAAATAGCTTTTGTGCAGCTAACAAAACATTAGAGGCAAAACAAATAATAAAATGGGGTGTTGACACAGGTTTTGATGGTAGGAAAATGATTGTGCTTAGTGATGTTGCTCTTGAAGTTGCTAATGAAATACTTGATGAAGCTAAAATATTTGGTCGTTCAAAAATAAGAGGATTGTATTTAGCACATGGTGATAAAGACCAGGTAGTCTTAGTTGACGCCACAAATGGCCCCAACCCTGGGTATTATGTCATATTATTTTATTTTATTGATTGCAAAGGTCATGGTACATTTAAAATACATGTTTATTTCTTTGTGTTAATAAATGTTCATGTAATTACAAAATATATAAGTTGCTACAAATGGTCATTTATGTCTGTTGATTGTGTATATATAAGAGGTATGGTGTGTGTCAAAGGTAAGCATGAAAGTTCATAAGTAACCAGGCTTTTCTGTGCCCTAGTTTGAGGGTGTTTTAGTTACAGATATATTGAGAAGGTAATATTTTACTTGATTCGGCTCTAATGCTCAGGGTGTCATTTGTGTTTAGGGGTGTGCCATGACAATTTAATCAATTGGAATTGAGGAAGGGCCACATTTTATTATGTAGATGTCGAGAACTAAGCAGTGATAGACCGCTATAAACTGTTATCTTGCACCATTTCTCTGAGATTAATTAAATATTTACATATTAAAAATAATATTTACATAAACATATTTACATAAAAATAATAGTTTGGCTAACTGTCACTGTCTGTAGTCAGCAGCCATCTATAAATATAAGTATTCTGCTGAAACAGAGCTGCCAGTGTCCATGAAAAATCCATGTTTTTAGGTCAAGGAGACAAAGAGAAAGGAAATTTCTGTTCCACTGCAGCATCACAAGGAAGTCTGGCTGAACCAAACAGCAAAGCTACAAAGTAATACCATTACAATTGTGCATGTTTTATACTCTCTGCCATTGTGGATAATTTACATATTCACTAAAATCTTCCTGTTTTATATATTTTTTTAATCATTATCATTTTAAAATCAATTTGAAATATTTTTATTCAATATATGTATATGTGTATGTGTGTCTGTATATATGTCTGTATGTATACATATACACGCATATACATATACACATTATATATAATGTATATAATATATACATATCTGTCCATCTGTCTGCCTCTGACAGATGGACAGATAGACACCTGTCAACACATGTCAGCCACATGTGTTCACATGTATTAATTAGAGTTGATGTGAAAGAGCCAAAGAGTTTTATAATGCTACATGATGACATCATCGACATACAGAGCTAAACAATGAAACTAACTCCCGCTGTGTGGTTGCTTGCGACTCACTTGTCATATGAAAGAGTCACTCCGGCCACTTTAGCGTTTTCACAGCTCATTGCAAAGAAGAAGAGTGAAAGGATGTAGCCAATCAGAGACGTGCCAAAGGCAAACTTAGCCGCACCCATGATGTTCAGCTTCAGCTTCTTCATGAGCAAACCACCGGAGAACATCCCCATAGCTACAGCAGGGATGTTGATCACACCTTAGAGAAGGGAAACGCAGGGTTGTTATGTTTAAGAAAATAAGAGGACCATGATATATGTGATTAAGTGGGTAAATCACAATCACAGGTCATTGTGGGTAAAAAACAAAACAAATCAAATTGATGCAGTTATTATCAGTATGTGATTGCGATGGTTACTTATATTGCATTCCCTTTCATTTGTGTAATATGTAGCCAGTGTGCTCAGGCCTGGCATTTTCTTTGAAGCAACCACTTGAGCCTGAATACTTATCTCTTTTTAAATTTGCATGAAATACACCCTCCCTCTCTACTAACCATAAATCTGCTCCCTCAGCCTCTGTAGTGTTCGTGGACAGATTTTTAACGTGACCAAACCCCGACTCTATCATTTCTCATTGCTTTAGGAAGTGAATATAAAACATATAAATGATAGTGTAGTCGCGAAAAAAGAAAGAATTATGAATGTGCGATGAGCTAACGATAAGGCTCATTATTGGAATTATTGAATCTTAGAAAAGGAATCATGCTTCAGAGCTTGTTCCGCTGTAATAGGTAAACAACGGAGGATAAAACCTTTCCTGTGATGATTGCCACAGATTGTAAGACATGATTAATTCATGTGCTACCTACATGGAGTATTTATGGAATGTATCATTTTCCTACCCATCAGGAAGTTGGCCTTGGATGCGGACTGCCGGAAGTGCTGCTCGATGTACTTGGGCTTGTAGGTGACCATGCCGATGAGAGAGTTCAGCTGAATGATTATCACACACAGGTAAATGAGATACACAGGGTGTCCCAGCAGGGTGCGCAGGCTTGGAATAAAGTCTGCAGAGAGAGAGTAGGCATATTTATGTTGCATGTCACCACTTCTGATGGCTGCCATTAGATGTCACTCCAATGTTCTTTTTGCAGTGAAAGCATGAAACCATTAACTTAATTATTTATTATTATAGCAATGGGATGAATAAAGTCCATGCATGTGGTAAAACTACACAAGTCACTATTAATGTTTTTCTCTGCAAAGTATACCACTCAAATGTTGTGAAATATATTACACATATCTAAATATTGCAATATTTAATATGTGTATTTTCCACCAAAGAGATTTTTTTTTTAAATTATCTTAAAATAAACTATTGAACAACAGTAGGTTTCAGTACTATTTCATCTTATAACCATCTACTGTAATGTAAAATAACATTCAGCAACATACTGTAGTCAAATGTAGCATTATATAAATCTGTTTTTAATTGCAGTGCATAGTTGTATTGCAATCACATCAACCTTCACCAAAATTATTCTAAAAAAATTATCCAATGGGACGTCTCTCACCTTTGGCCATCTCTATAAAACTGCTGTGTTCATCTGCTGGATATGTGGGTTTCAGATGTAATGGCTGTTTAATGAAGCTTTTCTGCTCTGGTGGGCACTTCGCTGACTCCTGGGGGCCAGAGTCGGGCAGGGAACGGGGTAAGAACCAGAAAGGAATAGCAGAAAGTAGTGTGATGACTCCAGCTATGAGGTAGCCCAGCCACCAGGCCCCCACCCAACGGGAATCATTGGGGGTGATGGTGATGGATTCTGTATTAGGGGAACAGGAAGTGAAAGATGAAACTGATTTGTTTTATAAATGTTAGTTGTAATTAGTATATTTAGAATTACAAAAGCAAAAAATGTAATATACAGTTGGTCTAATTTTTAAGGGTTATTTTTTATTAAATGTACTTTTATGAAAAAGATGTTGCCACTCACTATCCCCTGCAGGGGGTGCTGTGAACCCAGTTCCTGCTCTATAAATTAACTAGTACAACAATTATTGTTTTATAAACATTTAACCACTCTAAACTTAACATTTGTGTAAAACTGTGGTTTATTTATGTTTCACTTTAGCGTTCAACGTTATTCCAGATCTGGTGCCACCTGGCTGCTCCACTGTGAACTGTGCACAGAATTTAACAAGTAAGTCATATAATATGTTTCTGACATAAATTAACTTATGAGATGTGAGAAAAAAAAATCTCATTGATGGTTGGTTGTAATGAAGTTGTAGTAAGTAAGTAGGTATACAAATACCTTCTACCATGTTTAGGTTTGTCAGAATTATTTTGATAGATTTATTTATTATTTTAACTAAATTCAGACCCCTTATGTAATAATGTTTTATTGAGAGACTTTGAAATGTCAGCTAAATTTAGCTCAGCTCAATCCCCATCATGTGTTTTCTTCTCTTTATCAGTGCTTCAACCATTCACTCTCTTTACCCTAGAATACCCTACTCCTTCTCAAGGTTTATTATGATATAATCCCCCCCGCCCCCCGTTACCTGAAATGCCCTCCACTTTTTTTTTTCCTTTGCCTTTGACTGTGTTCTTGTGCAAGCCGGCAGAAGCTTTTGTCCTGCCTCGCTCATTAGCTAATTGATGCTAATCCAGAACACCTGCTCTGACTCATTGTATTGCAGCTGATGTTGTATCTGATAACATCCTGCCTCGGTTTTATGAATGATGAGCGCTTCTTTGAATGCATGCAATGTGACCTGAGATGACATTTTGGAGAACATCCTGATATGTGGTGGTGAAGTGGCGTATTAACCCTGAAACTGTTGTCATAGTTGTTGTTGTCTTTTTTTCCTCTTCAACATCTGTTTCGTAAAAAGAATAGGCTTTCATAAGTTTTCTATATTTTTCTTTGTTCTCAAGGTTTGTAAATCAACAAAACTATTGCTAAAAAACCATGACTGTTGTTTAAATGCAGCCAAAGCTCTTAAAAAGAAAATGATTGTGTTGTGCTACGACTCACCCATCTTTACAAATCCAATGTCTACGTAGATTTTAGCACACAGGGAGCCCAGTAGATATCCGAACACAGGGCCAATCACTGAAATAGTCTGAACAAAACCTAGGACATGATGGACAGACATGGAAAACACACACACACAAAATAGTTGAACTTTTGTCCAGCGCTGCAAACAGATAAAACTAGATTATTATATACAGTATATCAATGAGAAAAAAAATACAGCTGCACATAAATAGCACAGTTTGGTATGACGACTGCAGGGTGAATACAGCCATATGACTATTTAACTGTCATGTACACAGGACTCTTTTGTATTAGTGTAACTAATAGCAGCATAGTATGTTTGCAATGTTTATCGGACATGTGAGTGCATTGGGAAAAATAAAACGACATTCATTCTGGATGAAGCAGATAGAAAGGGTATCAACCCCTTACAGAAGGTGTTGCTCTTTCTTACCCACATAGAGGGCAGCATTTTCCCCTGTTGCAAAATCGTCTATATACGAGATCCCGAGAGGCTGAACGGGTGTCTCTCCGATCCCTCGTAGGACATTTCCCAGGAGAACGTAGACCCACATTGACAGGTTGGACTCACTTTCACAAGCTGAGAACCACAATCAAAGTGTGGTTTACTTCACTGTAGTAGTTTGTTTGTTTGTTTCTTGTAGCTATACTTGTGAGACATCTGAAAAAAACACTCTAGTTGTGGGAACATTTTTTTACTGGTTAGGGTATTTTGCCGGTCCCCATCCAGTGAGACGATGTTTTAGTTTGGACTTAGAATAAGAATTAGGGTCAGTTTAGATTTAGAGATTAGTATTAGGCATATATTTCTCATCGTTTAAGCAGAGTAAGGGGCAAAGAAATGCATTTTGTTCGAGTGAAGTACTCACAAAACAATGCTCACCAGCAGCTGGAGCCTCAGGTAGTTTACCTCCTTGTTTTACCTCGGCAGGTAAACCCATTGAACATGGTGAGGGATGAAGTGTGGAGTTCTCTATCCACCTCACTGAGGTTTCAAACTCATAGCTGTGCACACAAAACAAGTGTCACAAATTGTTGCAAGGATGCATGGACACGTTAACAAATAGGAATGGCTAGAGAAAAGATAGAGAAGCGTCTGCACTCCAGAGGCAGGAAATGGCAATAAGTTTGAAGTGGGGAGTTCAACGCCACATCCAGTGATTCACTGTGTTTGAGTTTCCACAGTTCGCGCTGTAAATAACGTGTAAAGTGGAAAGTAGAACAAGTGTCAAGAATTTCCCTGTTGTATTTAAGCGATTATCTGAATGGAAGTTTCTTTTTTTATTAGCGATGCACCGAATGTTTGGTGGATTTAATTTTTTGGTCTAAAGACTTTGATCATCTTTGTAATAACATAAGCAAAACCTGTGGCCAGCACAATCTTTTAGGATCCTCTACATTTCATCGTGACTCATGTTATAAAGGTCATTATTTAGATGTGGAAATAAAGCAGCATTAAAACATTGGTATTAATTAATGCAATTCCAATGCCTTGGTTTTAGTAAAGAAGTACGCAGTCATAGCTATAGTAATAATGAAATAGTACTAATAATTGGCAAAATAATTTCTTGTTGGGTTTTGGTTATCAGTTTTGGCCAAGAATTTTCATTTCAGTGCATACCTAGTTTTAACATTAATGATTCATTTATATAGTTAAAATAATAATGTAGGAAGAAAAAGGTTTAACAATAACTAAGACTAGGCCCAGGTTTTTCTTGCTCACCGTCCGATGATGAAGTGAGGCAGGGCAATGATGAAGGTACCAATGGACATCAGTACGCATCCCACTGCAATGACCTTTGGCCGATGGAGCTTGGCCCCGAAGTAACTGACGAAAGCAATAACTAACAGATTTCCTGAAAGGAAGACAGTGAATTAGATCCCGCTGCATGGCCCCTTATGCAATTAGATGTACAATATATCCACTGTACAGACCAAATATGGGCTACATCCCTGAATATACTGCATGTTAATGTTATTTAGACAATTTAAAATATTCTGAAACTCTTGTTTAAAAAAAAAGACTGGTTCTTTTATTTTTATATTGCAATTTAAGACTTGTAAAATCATTTTTAAAAAATTAGAAAAAATATAAGAAAATAGTTTAATCAATTAAAGAAATGTACAACCCCCTGCAGTACATATGAAACCTGTAGGGGTAGTGGACCTCTTGTTGAAGACCTTCTAGTTGAAGACTCCACTAGAACATACATTACAATGAAATTTCTCACTTTGTTTGAGTGCACATCTATCAACCTGAGCTGTCGTACGTTATCACAGTACGCTGTGACATGGAAAACTCCACAGTCTGGAAGAAGTCGAAGATTAGAATAAAAAGACAAAAAGACAAAAAATGCTAATGTCGCATGCCTGAACGTCCATGTTAATAGTCCGTAACTGGGTTAATTAAACACAACGTGTTTTCTTTGTGTGTATTTTTCATTGACATCAACTGCTGTTTTCAGCTGCAATATCAAATATTCATCGGAAGAAAAACTACCTAAATATTGATGACATTCTGCAAATACATCATCTGTGGCCAAAGAGCTGAGCTCACACAGCTCTAACCGGATCTCCATACAGATCTTGTCACATTATTGCACTTTATCCCCATCTTATCTCTTTCTTCTCCAGTTCTCCATCTCTTCCTCCCCCGTGTCCCCACTGTTATCTCTTGTTTCTTTACGCTCTCATCCTTTTTTTCCCTCCCTTTCACTTTCATGCTGCCCTGCTCTGCTTCATGTTGCCCTGGCAACAGTCCTATAGAAAAAGCGTGTTGCCTTGGCCACATGAGAGAAGCTGCATTAACAGAAGACGATGGATAGATATCTGGGATTTTCAGCTCCAACTTCCCCAGAGGTCTCATCTTCACCTGTCTCTAAGCCATAACTACAGCAAAGCGTCATGAGCGGGCGTCACTCACACTCTTGGTCTACAGACCAAGTTAAAGATCCAATACTATCATATCATATCAGCTTTGGCCCAAACAGACTGTCCGATGGTAAGGACTCAGTTGCAGTCACACATCTATGGATTAAGTACTAATTTCTTCGTCTTCTGCTCACTACTCTTCATCTATTTCTTCTGTGTGGCTTCTTTATTTTGACATTTGTCCAGTATGTTAGCACATGTCCAAGCCATTTAAAACATTACCTCGAAATATTATTATTATTATTAGTATTATTGAAGGCTATTCAACTCTATCAACTAGAAAGAGGGAGAATAAGAAAACAGTGACCTTATGACGTGTATGTTGATACTCTGTATAAAACCTTCATAACTCTCACTGTCCACAGCAAAGGACACGATCAGAGCCATAATTGTCCTTGCTTGACTTCATGACTCACACACCAAACAGGTGTGCACTCTTCTTGGAAACCTGATGAATCCTTTATCAGCTTGCAGCTGGAGTGTCTCTGTGACCCATTCATATTTTTTTTGACCCAAAGACTGGAAAGAGCGCTGAAGTAGAGGCTGTAAACAGGAATGACTAGTAGGACTCACTCACCAATCTCAAAGCTCCCATCAATGACTCCTATTAGGTAACTGGGGATGTCAAAGCGCCTCTCCAGCTGAGTAATTGTGCTCTTCATGTAGCTCCCCGACAGAGCCTTCGCAAAATAGGCAAAAGACAGAGCTCCCAGAAACATCTGGGGAGGGGAAAAGATGAGATTTTAAAAAAAAAGAGTTGATATGCGAACAGTGTTTGTTCAGATTTATAGCTTATTTGTAACGCTTTTTATCTACTTAATAATGTGCTGTTCAGTTTGCTTTAAATTGTCACGCTGATGTGTTATATTATTTACAATATTTCCCCTGATTACCGTGGACTCCTCCTCCATCTCTCAGTAATTAGGTGGTGCTGTATAATGAGTCAAGAGGGTCAAGAGAGGAGTTTAAAATGAGAGGACATGGTTGATGATGATGAACACCAAGTGTAGAGAAGAGAGGACGAAATGTCGACACCACCGAGGGAATAATTGGCTTATTTCGGAGAGTTCACAAACAAACGTGTGCATTTATTCATGAAGACCATAGAGGAGACGCAGTAACGACTACAGGAATGCATAAATTGACCTGAAAGCCAAAGTTTGAACCGTACATGATCTGAAGAAATATCTCAGTTCACACACAGATCATGTGACTTTGATATACATTGGATACCTCAGTGTGATTGGTCTCGTCCCATATTGTTTGACTTGTACGTCATGAAAATCCTTGCTTAATAAGTAGTTAGCCAAATTGCTAACTGTAAACAGAAAACAAATTCACTCGTAGGAATAGCTAAGTTTGAACAAAAAGAAATGGAAATAAATGACTCAAGGTCACTATAAAAATAATTTGAACATCGAGAATTCCATAGAAAACGGCAAGATACATACATAAGTAATTAGCAGTTAGCTAAAAACAAAGCAGGTTTTGTGTTTCACTTTATCCAACAAGTGCATTCAGTGGCTTTAAATAGTATTTCATTCAGATAATAGTGGGTGAACTAACATCATAATTTCCTTATGTTTGACTGTATGTCAAAACCAAATACTCTCCGGATGCAGCACACAGTATATTAGTAGTTAAATAGAAAGCAGCTGACTCTTAGTGCTGGTAGATAAACCATAACAAAGTTAGAGACAGGAACATGTTTTTTTTTTTTTTTTTTAAGTAGGAAAAATAACAGAAATTGTGTGGGGGTCGGGATATTTACTTAGAAGTACCGCAGCTACTTTTTGTCTTATCCCTCAAATTCAAAATTCAAATTCGAATTCAAAATTAAATAACCCTACTAGAATGAATAAATGATAGCCAAACAAGTAGTAATTAAATTAAACATTTTAGAAAATAAGCAGCCATGGCATAAAATCAATGGCAAAAAAAATCCACACAGTGCATAGTGTATTAGAGCAACTACAAGGGATCCAAACTGAAAACCCACACTAGTATCAAATTTAAGGGTTTTTGTGTGAATTTTCTTATTTTTATTTTTGTTATTTTTTTAGTGCTGGCCACTTTGGAAAATTGTATTTATTAATATTTGAATTACAGTGTTTTGTAATTTCAGTATTTCCACTAGAATATCCACTAATACTGTCAGTGTTAATCTACATTTTTCAGTTTTTGTTTTGTTTTACTTTGCTGGAATAATAATAAGTACATTACCATTCAAATCACACTGCCCTACGGTGAACATTCAAATCTACAAAGATTTATTCCATGACAGACCAGTATTAAGCGCATGGCCTCTATCATACATCAGACTCACGCTAATCATCTTAAGAAAAATATTCCCTTAATCTGCAAAGCTAATCTGTAATCCTCCAACACTTTGTTGCCATAAAATAGGAAAGTACTTGCTTGTGCATACCACAATCTTACACAGTACTTTGATTCGGTGTATGATTTAAAAAAATAAAATCCCATCTATCAAATGCATCTAATCTAACTAACTAACCTGTGATGCCTTCAATGAACAATAAAATGCCATTTTGAGACACAATGGCCACAACAGTGATAGGTCACATTGGTGCCATAAACACCAACAAAATCTGAGGCGAAAATAAGTTTGAAAATATTCTCGTAATTGATCTCCGATAATGGAATAATAAGAAAAAAAAAAAAGCGCACAACTGGATAGGATAAAATCGGGCCGTGCCTCAACCCACCCACTTGGTCGGGCACGCAAACAATTCTGAGAAAATGTTCTTTCACCACAGGCTGTGTTATGACGCTCTGCACGACCACCATTGTGCTGTTTCGCTTTCATGGGGGCGAACAGGAAACAATAGTTTGTGATTTCACCGTGGGTTTTTAACTAACTTCCATGGTTTTATAAGCACAACGGTTTTGCTTTAATCTTCTCACTGGTGCCAATGTTCACATAGGTGAACAGAAGCAGGATGGAGTGGGGTGTTTGACCATTAGACAGACAATACAATTGTAGCTATAAAATGTCACAAAATGTACCTTATTGGTGAATAGATTAATAAAGTTATGCTATGATGTACTAAATTACGGCAACACAGTGGATGAAGGGGTAAAGCCCTGGCCACAGTCGGAAGATCATTGGTTTGATCTCTGTAGTAACTGATAGCCCTTCTGTAACATAACTTCTTTTCTTGTGTCCGTGGGTTAAGTGCTAAAAAATTGATTCAAAGAATGATAAAGAAAGTTGGTGTTTTAAAATGTCAAAATATAACCAAAATATCCAAGAACTAAACAACAGAATACACAGTATTTTACAGAATCTGAGCCACAACTTATATTCTAATTATATTCAGATTTGACCTACTTGTCAATAGAAAATAGAAAAAGTAAAGCCAGATATTTCCTAATAATTTCCTGTGTAATTATCCAAATAGATTCAAGATTGGACAAGATTTGGCCAAAACTCCATCTACTCAAACTTTTTTTAATTTTTACCTTGAGACTCGTGCAGGAAGATGAAGAAGAAGGGTGTGATTCTCCTGCCTCGCTCTTCCTGCGTCCATTCTCTCGTGTGCATCCTTCATCATTTCTGTCCGCCATCCTCCAAGTCTGTGCGTCTCCTTATCAGAAGTCCCTTACGTAATGCAATTTCTTGGCAGTGATGCATACGACCCTGCAAATGGATAATTCAAGCATGTGACCTACTTTTTATCTTGGAGAGAGAAAAAAAGAAAGAAAGAAAATCATGCCAGTAGTGACATTGTTAAACACAAACACACAATAATTCTCTCTGTATTTGTCTCAGATCTTAGGCTGTTAGTCTCCACTTTGAATTCAACGTAAAGATTGATTTATTTTGTTGGCTTGTTGTTTCTCGCATAAGCTGCAGTTGGAAAAACTCTAAGTTGTTCAGACAGTGTCAGGCATCACATGACTGAAGTAAATGCAGTATATTTGTTAATTGTGATGAATGGCGAAAGCTCCTGCTCGATGTTATCGAATGATGTCTAACTGATTTGAGAAGATTCCGTTGTCTTGATGGACATCTGTTTTGAGCGCATGCTTATCGTCGGCGTTATCCTGCGTGTCAGAAACACAGACAACAATGACACGCTGAGTGTGACTGTGTAGTGGAGACAGTCTTCCGTCTGTTGATAATTGGTTGATGTGCAAGGGAAGTGTTGATGTCATTGTTCACCGAATGGTTTGAGAGCCAGAAGAAATGTACAGTCATTCTCACAAACACACTCTCGCTGGTGATGCCAGTGATTCAGAACGTCAACAACATTACTATGTCACTTATTTATACTTGAAATGATGGTGTGTAACCTCAGTTAACGTTCATGTAAAACTCGCAGACACACACTATCGACGGAAATGCTAACAGATATTTTAAATTTGGATTATAACCGTCCTAAGCTATTGCTAGTTTGCTAACGATATTTGTTCAAATCTAACAGTCTTCACATGCTGATTTTGTAGCCCTGACCCAAGCAAACCCCAAAATGAACGATGTGCACTTGGGCACAGTATAATATTCGTATACATGCACATGGTCGCGGGCATTTCTACTGGCATTACAGAGTAACTGTAACTAGTTTTGTGCCAAGCTGCTTGAAAATGCTTCTGCAGCAACACATTCTTGAGTCGACCCATGCAGTATCCATGCCGTTCATGTGAACGGACCGTCGTCTGGTTGTGACAAAGTAAGATTTTCTTAGCACTGTTGAACCACTGTATAAATGAAAATCAACATCTACTATTGTTAGAAAAATGCTAACAGCTCATAATAAACCAATTTCTTGCATTGGAATTAGGGCTGGTATCTTGTTGTGTTCATATCTATTAATTCATTTACAGTCAAGATAATACATAAACATTTTGGTAAACAGTAATGAGGAACAAGACTGGGTTGTGAAGTGTTGTTGGACAAACCTATATATACAAACCTAAGTTCCCAGTGGCAGCTGGGATAAGACCATGGTTGTGAAAATTGAGCAACACAGAGTTTTCTTCTTACTCTCACTTATCAGCCCAGACACCAGAGCTAATGCTAGCTAGTCCTGTTCCAGACAAGCCAGACCACAGTAGACATGATGACAGGGTTCATCAAAAAAAAAAAAAAAAAGTCATGGATACAATGGCTGTAATTGTACTATGAGTTTGTATTGATCTGTGAATGTAGTGCTGATTAATTGAATGCAAGAATCTATCCATACTAAAAAAAAAAGTCATGGATACAATGGCTGTAATTGTACTATGAGTTTGTATTGATCTGTGAATGTAGTGCTGATTAATTGAATGCAAGAATCTATCCATACATCTATCAATTGTTTTTAAATTATATCAGCTCAACGATCAAAGTCACGGCACCAACATTTTCTGATCTAGGAATAAAGAGAATAAAGACTCATCTGACTTCTTATATGTGAAGACAGAAATTATATTTTTATTCATTCCTCCCTTCTTTTTCATCTCACTGATATTATTCCTCCTTTGACTATGGCTCCACACGTTGGTCCTGCCTATTAAAATGTACCCGCCCCACTTGCTCCCCCTAGGCTCTCATTTCCACCAGTCATGTGAAATAGCAAATGCAATTGCTTCAGGCCACTGGCTCTGTGGTTTCACCAGCGTAACACCGTCACCCTTTCTGCTGGAGAAAACTGAGGGCCAGTAAAGTCACATGCAACATGCGATTATTACTCGCTTAATGGTTTTCCTGAGAGCTGGCTAATCGCACCAGCTTTGACCTACATTCAAGGAATTAGAGCCACAGCAGCTTTGAGTGGAATAATATGAATCTGGAAATGTGTTATTTATTTATTTTTTAAAAAGCCATTGTTATCTACGAAAGTGGGCACTTCACAGATTTTCTACAATATATATAGTATATATATCACTTCACTGTGTCATTTAATGTGTTTGGTCTAAGTAAAGTAAATGTACAGGTTCATTTTAGCTTTGTGCACATGTAACAGCGAAATGTTACATCTAAATCCCAACAACTACAACATGACCTTTAACCTATAAACAACGATCACGGTAAGACGATAAGAGAAAAAAAAAATACAAAGCATATTTCATTTATCATGCTGGCTGTATGGTATGTTCCGCCGTACTGTATTAAAATAAATCATTGTTTATTGATGTGATGTGCCGTTCGTGATGTTGAGCTGAGGCCGGAGATTTACTCTGCTTATTATTCTCAGAAAAGGGTTTGATCTCACGGGGCGCTAAAAGGTTTTTGTAGGTTTAGTTCCTTCTTTGAGGTTGTTTTGGTCGCTTTTTAGTGTTTGTGTCTGTCTCCTTGTGTAAACTTGGAGCTCATACGGTCAGTATTTTGTGCTGTGAGAAGAATTTTCAAATCAACGGGAGTGGATAGTTTGACATTGTTGAATGAGTTTGTATGATGATATTAGGGCTAAAAATCTTACAATGTTTGTTAAATGTAACCGTTGGATGGAAATGAAAACCAGCAAAGATACTTTGGTTGCATTAATTAATTTAAAGGACTCACTCCTAATGGGTGGAAGTTGTCTATAGTAAAGATGTGTTTTTGAAGATAATCATTGGCTCTAATTCCATCCAGTATATTAAATGTAGTGTTTTACACTATTTTAGTAACGAATTACAGTCCAGAAACAGTGTTTTCTACTGTAGTGCCTCTATGCTGCCGTCAATAGTTAAAACCTCTAACTGATTGTCTGCATATTATTGTCTGTGTGCATTGTTTTCGGGTGAGTTCATTTTCAGCCGCTGTTTAGTTCAGGATCATTTCTCTCTAGATTCACTCTCATGTTGTCCCCACGTCACCGTGTCACTTTCTTCCTCCTAAAACATTACATTATGTGTAACCTAATTTGAGTCTAACTACATTGTTGAGGTCCATGGTAATATGTTTTCCCTTCTTCTTGCTTGACCTGGTTTCAGTTGACCACAGCCAGTTTGTATTCAAGTGGATCTTGTTTTGATCTTGACGTTTTGAAAGTCCACTATGAATATTTTATCAATGAGAGCATATAGCATATGAGCATATATTGGCCTTTATCCATACAGGTCAATACATACATACATGTAAATACATACATACACTGTTAACACATACATATATAAATATATTCAAATATACTTATAATACATAATTGTCTTGACATTTTATGTTATCCAATCCTTTATATTAGTCGCAAGTACAAACAGGTGTGAGACACGCCTCTAACTGCTGAAATTTGTCTTCCTGTTTCAGCCACACATAATTGATTAATCTACAGCTGCCCTGTGATTAATCTGATAATTTTTTTAAATTAATTAAACATGTTGTATAGTACATTTGTGATGTACGCCCCCTTACCTCACTGTCCTGTCAAAAATCCATCTGCATTCTTTTTTAGTCCAGAGGTTGAATCAGCCAATGGGAAACACAGGTGTAGAGGAGAGCTTCAACAGTAGCAGCAGCTCGAAACCAGCTCTGGTCAAACTTCTGACAGAGATGGGAGAGAACGAGGAAAAGAAAGAGGCGGAGGAGGAGGAGTAGGAGGGCGATCAGGGGAAAGGAGGAGGTGGTGAAGGAAGGAGGAGAGGTGCCGACAGAAGCTGCGAATGGTCAGATGTACACATGTTTATAGGCGTGGATGGTCTCTGTCCGTCTGTGTGTTTGTGTGAGTAAGAGAGAGAGAGAGAGAGACTCAACCTCCTCCTCTTTGCCTCGGTGCCTCCCCTTTTTTCTGACCCTCCTCCTCCTTCCTCTCCTCTCTAACTTCTGTACAATTCAAATAAGGTTTATTAGAATCACAGTACAGCACAGCATTTTCCACTGCCATGCAGTCATTTACGGGCATCTACGTAGGTCATACTAGAATTGAATAAATAAACCTCTGTGAAATGTGAGCGGATATTATGTAATATTATATATTTCTTTAGTTATTTCCTAAGAAAAAAAATGAACAAAAACATCCGTTTTCAACAATGATGACCAACATCTTTCCTTCTCAGGTAAAAGGAAAAAAAAAAGTCTATTTACATTTCCCCCCAGGGGACGCCCCTTTGACACTATACGGTACACTGATCAACTGCTGTAAATGGGGGAAAAAATGCAGTTCCATATTTAGCATTTACTGTAGGATGTCAAGTGCTGTCCTTACATCCAACAGACTGAGGTTGTTAGATTCAGACTGTGAAAGGACAGCAGCAGGTCCCTTTGTGGATAAGTGTTAGTTTTATTTATATCATCATATTTGTCCAAGGGGCCTTTAGATAATGAACGTCACTGACATCAAGTTCTTTATTCTCTGATATCATTGTGTGCTTGGGCTTCTAATAGACAATTTTGCTGTCAATCACACACAGTAGCCAATCTTATTCAGTCCCATCTTGAACTTTAATAAGAGATTATTATTCCTATTATTATTATTATTTTATTTCATAATACATTTGGGTTGACCAGGTCCCAACTAATAAATGTGAATATGTTTTTGAATTAGAACTGACTGAAATAAATTGCAAATTATGCAGTAGGTTCCACATCATCATCTTTTCAGAATGAATTATGAGCAGATTTGTTTATGACTATAGCATGAGTTGTGCAGTTTTGCATCATACTCAGACTGAACACATTAACCTGGAATCATACAGGCTTCTGTCGCTTTTACATCGCACCGTCCTTTGGTTCACTTCTGCTCAGCATTTTTGATATAGTGATCTATAAATACAACCCACAAATTAACATCCTGTTAGAGTGCGGTTCGTGTTGCATTGTACTTGTAAGTACATTTTGAGCATGCACTATTTTGATACCCAAAAATGTAGACAATAAAACCGACCACAGCAATAATTGCTTCACATTACTGCAGAACAGCTCACTACATTTATCCTCCGTCAGTATGAACAACATTCTTTCTTAATACCTCTGGTATTTTGCTCGCAATGATACCGATCTGAAAACACTGCGGCACCCTCGATGGTCGTTCGGATTACGACATGTTACGCGCGTCTATCAGAAACACATGCAGTGTAATTCAGGTGCTCTTGCTTTATTTCAAGCAGATGTCGGAGGCTGCTGCTGTGGCTGACAGTGCTGACAGTGGTCTTTGACTTCAGACAGATTTCGTGACAGGGTTCTGGTTTGGAGGATTTCCTTAAGAACCACTTAATTACTTTTACTTTTTAAACAACACACCCAGTTGGTGGCTGGGCTGATATGTGAGAATGACACGGGCACATATGAAACAAAGACATTAACATAGGATATCATGTGCCAGTACAGTCTGAGATAGTTGTACGTCTTAAGAGTTATCACAGTATGACTTTTGATTCCCAGTAACCAGACGTATCACATGACCTTATCAGGTTTGAGGGGTTGCATGCACCATCGTACCGTGTACAGTATGGAGAAAAGACAAAAACTTACTGCTGCTTCTTCTGTGCCTTTACTCAAAGCTCCACCAAAATAATCCCACTCACACCCATAACAACACGGACTGTGCGTCAGCAGCAGCAGGAGTCAAGAGATTGTCATTGAGGGGTTCATTTAATTTTTCAGTGAAAAATATTATTTAATGTGTTTCTTTATTTACCTAGGAAATCCCATTGGGATCCATCGCCTCTTTTTCAAGGGCAGCTAAAGGTAGGCAGCAGAAAACACACAATGATTACAAGTCTTACAGTTAAAACACAACAGTAATCAAATTACAGGCAGACAGTGTGTAACACTTTTGTGATGAACCACACCAACGGTTTGGTTTCTATATGCTGAGGATGATCTTTGTTGCACATCTTCAAATCTGTGAGAGCCAGAAATGTAATAGTAATATAAGGGTAGAATAATTTGGTGAGATATATAAGTAATTTGAGTTTTAATTACTAGTTATGAAATATTGAAATGATACTCAGTCATATGATTCATCATTATATCATTATATGTGATTGTCAGTAATGTAACTAGAATATATTGTATACAAATTATTAGCACCTTTGGATAATAAAGGTGTTTGTTAAATGTAGAGCATGTTTTATATAAATTTCTCTAAGACAGACATGGACAAACTATGGTCTGTGGGCCAGGTGGGGCCCACTAGGCTCTCTAATGTGGCCCACAGTCAAACACTAGTACTAGGTTTGGTAAAGAATGATGTCAATCCTTCTATTTCATGCATTATAACGAATCGCCTGTCATTTCTGTTGATGCCACTAGATGGCAGTAGACCTAAAATGTGCTAAATTATCTTTGAAGGTTTAGGTTTATGCTTGTACATTTTATGTACAAACATTGATTCGCCCAACATCAAACCAGTACTGAACCGGCCCGTGCGCCATAGAATTTGGCAAACCCTGTTCTAAGCCCTTATAACTGGATCAAGCATTCCTCCTTTGTTCGTGCAGCCTTTCACCTCCAACATTAACAAACACAACAATATTGGCCAATTTTGACAGTACATTCTTACCTTAAAAATAATCTTTAATTCACTGCACAAAATCTTATCTGTAAAGAGCTAAACTAACTGCTTTTTTTTTTTTTTTACTTTTTAACATTTTATTGGCTGTTCTTCGGCCTCGAAGTGGCAGTACTACTATTAAATTGCTGTAATCCTCTTTTACAAACACTCAAGAATAAAACAAGAGAAATACAAAGGTTGAGGTGTTAGGAGTTACCTGCCGATCAACCTAGCCCAAAATCTTACTGCATCTCAGTGACAAAAAAAAGAAAAACAAAATTGATTATATGTATGACTCTATTGTTTTATGTTTTTTTCTGGAAGTTTCTGCATACCATACTTTGACAAACAGGACAGACACACGTTGAGCATTTATAAATCTTATTATTTAACATTATTCACATTACAACATCAACACTGCTCTGCTAGTGACAGCTTCTAATAATCCCAATATATCGTATAGTTATGTTGTAATACATTGGCAAGAGGCACTTCCAGTAAATCTGGCAATAGAGGAGCTACAGTATTGTGTCTACATTACAAAACATTAAAAATAAATAATTTCTAAAAGTTTTCTTTTCATTATTACTGTAATATATTTCTGAATCTGTACAGTATATATTTTTTTAATACAAAGTCAAACCATGTCTAGAAATAAAATTCATATTCCACTTAAACAAATACTGGTGAAACACACAAGTTCCCCATCCTGTAGGTATTGCTACATTTGTTAAGTGCAAGATACTGGAGAGAAGAAAAGAAGTGAATGTGTAAAGCGCCTGCTGTTGCCTCGTACGTCCCGTTGTAAAGGTGGCGGGAAAAGAAAAAAAAAGAAGTTTGTTTTGGTTTCCTTCTTGACAATGTCCCATTTGAACAATGTATGTATGTATACACACAGAAACACACACACACGTGAAAACCTTATGGCACAGACGCACAGCTCCCTTTGGAGAATGAATGGAACAACAAACAATACAAAAAGCAAATATTTTTGGCTCAAATAAAATAAAAAAAAACACATAGGGGCCTCAGTGTGAGAACACAAAGTTTTGGACAGCTCCACTGTAGCGCTACGTCTGGCTGTTTTCGTCTGTCTTTTTCTAGGACTCAATTTGTGCAAATGCCCACCAAAAAAACAACCAAGTTCCCAAAGATTCTTTGGTTTGCACAAGTTACAAGCGATCACTGATACCAACTGTAGAACCTGAAGGGTTTTTTCCCTAAACTTAACACAAGAGAATTGTTAAAGCAGACAAGCAAATGCCCTGTATTTGTTCAGTTCACATTGGCCAATGTATCTAGGATGATCAAAAAAGAAAAATCTTAAATATTATTTTGGTTTAATAAAATAAGATTCCTAACAATTCCTTACAATTCCTAAAAGTGCTCATGGAACCACGGTCCCGTGTCTTTTTGTCACTTTCTAACAATCTTACTGACCGCATATGTGACATTCTCGATAGAAATTTTTTAAAAGAACATGTCGTCAGGTACTTAGCCAAATAACCGCGAATTATTCTACCCTTAACCTGTATTACAGATGCTACAATAATAAAATAACCGTTGAATATAATGCAGACCTGCTGCTCACACGGAGAACCTTCTACAATTTATCAGGGTCCTGTACCTTTCTATACTCTACTGAATCTCTTAAGCTACGCTGGCCGCACCAAATATGGAAAGTTTATTAAACCGTTTTAACCTGTTTTTTTTTTTTCAATGAACATCTGATAATAACACGTACATGTTGTTAAAAGGCTGGAAGTCGGAACGAAGAATTCCAGCGCTATTATTTCACTGCCAAAAATATCGGTCAAGCCCTACTGTACTTCGTCTATGACCACTTTCGTACAACTTACTCTTAGCTTTCCGAACGACTACGCATGCAACCTGCAGTTATTTTATTTGTGCATGACAGCAAATGGCCACCCAGAAATTCTATCACAGCTTAGATAGTCTCTTGGTTTGCTGCTTTTTTTTTTTACGTACAACTGTAGTGAGGCATGGGCGATGAGAGGATGAGATCAGAGCTGGAAAAACTTTTCTTTTTTTTCGCTTATTTTGCTTATATCAAAGACTTCATGTAGAAAAAAAAATGGACTTTGATGAATCGAAGGAAACCAGTTTGTTGAAACACAGAGGAACATGTGACGGTGCGTTCTGTGTGTGTGTAATTATGTGAGAATGCATTGCATCAGTAAGAGCGTTAAGCCGCCTGTGAGGCATTGTTACGGGGTATTTACAGTTGCTGAAGCTCAAACATGTACTGTAGTGGTAAAGTAGTGTTGCTGCACAAGGGTTTGAGAATACTTGGTGGAAATACCCTGGCTCGTGTTCTTCATCAGCTGATTTCAAATGTATATTTTCTGCCACTGTACCACATATTATTACAGGTAACCTCACGGGAAGACATTTGTTCCAGAAGTAGACTCGTTTGTAGGACACGCAGTTGGTTTTTACTGCTAGTTTGGGTTTTTTCACATAGTTTACATTTTTCAGGATTTCAAAACCTGTTTGAAGGAAATAAGGAAACAAAAGTGTTGGCAGTAAGTGCCTATTCAAAGGTCACACTATGAGTTGACACTAAAAGGTTGCAAAATAAGCTCCAGCTTTGGTTAGAACAGACTCTCTGTGTTTGCCATAGAGGAAATAAGCAGTCCAAGGGTGTTATGTTTCCAAGTTTGGACCCTCTTTAACACGATAAGCATTTAGCTAACAGTGCAATGGATACAGCTGAGGATTTAGACTGAATTAACGCCGGCAAAACTCTAATTGAGTTAAGCAATAGGGTTCAAGTGTGGGAAGTTCAGCCAGTGCAAAGAGCTTCTACAGTTAAGTGTCTTCCTGGTCCACTTGTTAACATTTCTGTTTTACAGTCTCAGGTTGTCATTTACACATGTTGTGGGGAAGTTTTTTTTTTTTTTTGGTTTCATCCATAAAACCTCAAGCTTTATATACCATCTCAACAGTACGCGTGTGTTTGTGGAGGCTACAACTCCAGGTCAGACGCCTCCCTGAGCGAAGGGCAGTGAATAAGTCGTGGATTGTCAGGGACCGAGGCGTTCAAGATCCACGATAATGATGCTTAAACGTCTACGTGCTATTCGTCTTTCGGTTCCAGTAATAACATTGATTTATCTTGATTTATCACCAATAATCGTGATTGCTTCTGCTTCTTTGTGATAAATTAGATTTTGAAATTTAAATTTTTGACGGTCCCAAACATTTTGAAATGATTAGATTTTGAAATTTAAATTTTTGACAGTCCCAAACATTTTGAAATGTTAGCAACATTTTGCCCATAAAATATTCAAGAATCTAACATACTAACTGTATTTAAAAAAATCATCAGGAAGTATCCAGGTTAAATAATCTTTCCGACCCTCTGTTCCCCTTTGTTTCACCTCTTTCTGTTACTACGTAGCCCAACTGTTTACATTTCTTTTGTCACATTATTTGACTATTTAGGGATATTATAAATTAGTTTTTTTTCCAGTGCCGTTATTGAGGACTTAAGATGAAGAAATTGCTTTATAGTCTAAAACTGATTACCCACAAAATACGACAGTCACTTGTGCATAGTTCGACATTTAGGACATTCAGGACTGGAGCACTGGTAGTAGACCGTGACACAGACTGAATAAATGATCAACTTTTCTGAGAAGTTAGATGAAGTATGTATATAACGTAAAGCAAATGTTAATCGATTAATCAAATACGATTGTATTTTTCTTGCACACAGCACCTCCTAGATAGTAATACACAGTACTTGGAACTGTTTTTTTTTCATCGTGTTAGGACTGTATGTGTTTGTGATGATGGCAAATTACAGTCCAGGAGAAAACGACTGTAGCAGGACCACAGAGGCAGTTTGTAGCACTTTGGCTGTAGGCAGATCGTGTCACTCTGATAGTGTCGTAACTAAACTACTTACAAAAAAGTTGACATTTTCTGCCCATTTAGCCTTGATATGAAATAATACACAACGTCTGCCACGTGTAAATACAGTGTTGTAATGATTAAGCAAAAAAAACAACCAAAAAACTATACCCTCCCTCAAGGTTTGCGGCTTTAGAGTTGATTTCAAAACTGTTATATATTCTAGATCAGGAGTGTCAAACCCATTTTCACCGGGGGCCACATCAGCAATACAGTTCCCCTTGAAGGGCCGGTTGTAAATGGAAGACTGTATAAATCAGGGGTCGCCAACCCCCGGTCCGCGGACCAGTACCAGTCCATAGTTTATTTGGTACTGGGCCGCAGTGGGACACGATGAAAAAAAATGTACTTAATTTTTACTAATTTTCTTCTTAAGTCCAGCCATATGCATTTACTTTCTTTAGTTAAAGATAATCTGGCAAAAGATAATCTAATTTTGAAATAATAGGTAATTCAAACTCTGATACTAACAGAATCAGTGTCTAAAAGATGTGTTATTTTGAAATTTTAATGATCCTTTGATGCTTAGCACCTTGCTACCCGTCTGTTGTAACGGGTGGTACTGGCTGATCAGTCTGCAATTGAGTATTATTTGATTATAAAAACTTCTAATCACATAGGTTTGGAAACTCTGCTGCATGGACTTTACTAAATGCTTTTTAACAGCTTGGCGGGCCAAATCTGGTCCCCGGGCTTTGAGTTTGACACATATGTTCTAGATAAATAATAAAGCAGGTAGATGATTGAACGCGGTGAATGTCAGTCGGTTTAAATGCAGGTGCCGCTGTACAGATGGAATCAAAGTATTGTGATGCCGAATAAAAGTACATGAGACGAACACACGGAGCATATTTGTTTTGTTTTGTTTCTTCCTTTGTGGGCTCCCTTCTTCCTGAGTTGTGTACCCTTGAAACTATGGTCTACCTCACTCTAGTAACAAAGGACGGGGAGAAAACATGCACCTACGAAACGGCATTGTTTGAAGCCAACAAAACATTGTTTTGAATGTTTTTTCCTTGAGCAGGAATAAAGCTTTCATAGCAGTAGGGTTCTTTGTTGAACTTCCTATGGGCTCTGTGGAGGGAATGTGTCTTTAGTGCAGCATTGTGTACAGTATGTGTGTGTGTGCCTGTTCGCGTGGGTGTGTGTCTGTATACACACTGTACTGCAGCTGGCTATTTTTTTTTCTTTTTTTTTTTTTTTTTTTTTTGCTGTAGACATCTGAAGCATTTCTCCCTGCCTTCCAGCCCGTTGTCCTTAAAGAGACAGAGCTTGTTGGAGATGCCGTGAAGATGGCAGTAGACATGGCTCCAGCGAGAAGGGTGGCAGGGTGAGGGGCAAGGGGGTGGCATTATTATGTTACTTACTAGTGGAGTGAATGAGTGGACCAGCGTAGTTGGCTCAAAGTGCAGGATGGGCAGCCTGGTCCGGAGCAGAGCACCAAATCCAGACTGAAGCAAACACCACAACAAAATCAGTTACAGTCTTAATCTTCCTCTTTTCTCTCAGCTTATTTTTTTTTCAGCCTCTTCATCTTTTGCTTAAAACATGTCTCTTTTGTCCGATGCACTGGGCCAGTATGCATCATTTTCATTATTATCATCATCATCATCATCGTCGTCCCTGCTCTCAGACCCTGTTTTTGTTAGGCACATATTACCCATAACAATATTTCTACAGTGTTGTGTCAAAGTGATGTGCTGGCTACCATATCAAGAGTTTAGTTATATGAGAGAAAAAAAAACCCAAAACATATTTGGACAAATATCACACTCCTGTTTAAGGAGGAGATCACAGTCTATGATGTCACTCTGGCTCCTCCTCTTTTCCCCCTGAAGTCTCTGATTGTGGAAGGCTTCCCTCCTCTTCTTCCACTAAAGCCAGCACCTCGTCCCTGTCGTCCAGGACGTCGGCGGTGTCCTCTTCCTCTCTGCTCGTCTGCTCCTCCTCCTCCTCATGGATGGCTGTGATCGGAACAGTTGGGTTGCTGATGCAGTTTGGCTCCTCTTTCCTGGCCGCCTCCTCCTTCTCCCCTTCTTCCTCCTTTTCCTCCTCGGCGATAACTTTCTTCCACATCTCGTGGTTTTCCAAAAGATGCTGCATGATCTGGCAAAATACTTTCCTCCTTTTCACCATTTTAATTTCCTGTTGCTCTGTAAGAAACAAGCCCAACAGTTAGACAAAACGCTACATATGGTATTTTCCTAGTAATAGTTGACTTTAGCTGCTAGGTTTTCTGTGTTTTTTTTGTTTTTTTTGGTCCTGATAATCCAGACATTTTTTAAAGAAGACTGATCTGGAGTGCAGGCTGGCCAGTCAAGTTTATAGACACTAATTTTATTCTACAAAACAAGCCTTGTCACTGTGCTTATAAAAAAACCCATGAAGACAAGGCTGTCTCTGCCAGCCCACATAATCTTTTAAGCATGATTACAATAAAAAATAGAAACCAATAAAAGATAGCTACTGGAAGTGACTATAAATAGTAATTTATTTCCCATCTGTAATCTGTGTGGAACCTTGGAACCTACAGTGTAACTGATATGTCAGTCCATATGAGTGGCAGTTTGAGCCGTGTGTGTGTCAATGTGTAAGGCCTGACGTACGAGAGCTGTCAGATCCTGTGGATGAATCTTCCTCCACTGTGTCTTCCTCCTCCGTGTCCTGTTCTTCCTGTGTCTCCTCTGGCTCTGTCACGGTGCCGGGCGGATCGACCCAGCGTCCTGGCATCAGAGCAGCAGAGTCGTAGGAGGAGCACAGCGGCCCCACGATGTGAGTGATGAATGACTCCTGCAGTTTGGCGAGCTGAGGTGCAGAGCGGTCCATGAAGGGGCTGATGGGAAGTCCCAGGCTGGCTTCTTCATCTCCCTAGCAGCAGAAATGCAGCAAAAATATTAGATGTGTAAAGAAATTTTTTTACCCTTGTGATTTAAACATGACACAGAGACAGTGGCGTGCATTCTTTAATATGCCCAGGAGGGGGGGGTTTGGACTTGTGACCATTGGCATATAGCATTAAGTCTAGATTAGCGATCTTGAACTGGTGGCTCGTGGGCTGAATCAGGGCCTCTGAACTGTCCAATCTGGCCTGTGACTGGACTGGAAATCAATAATAACAAAAATGTGATTTTTATTTCATTTGTCCCGCCCCCAAGCTGTCTGTTGTTTTATCTGTATCTACACATTACATCAACTGTGCATGGATATTGCAATGGCATCCGGAGAGGAGCTGTGACTTCAGTGTATGTCCTTGGCAGGAATGTCATAGATTTTTCTCTCTACATTTTTTCTCTTCTCGTGTCAACAGCTAGGACAAACATACGGAAAAAAAATTCTTGTGCTTTATGTACTTTTTGAACTCCATATAGCAACATAGCGTATTCTTTACAAATACACTGAATATTGTGACAATGATGTTTTAATGTTACCTTTCCAACATAGTGGCTTTGAAACAGAATGGCAGTGGGGCATGGAATATGGTTGCCGTGGCAACCAGAAGCCGCCATGGTGTTGTAACAATTCCGGCACACGTATATACTGTGTGTGTGTGTATGTCTCTCTGTGTGTGCTTGTTCAACCAATCTTTGTGAAGGTTGGGAGGGTTTTGTGGTTTAAGATTGTGTTCGGAGTTCGGTTTCACAATTGATGAAAAACCAGCCTGTGTGTGTGTGTGAGGTCCAATAATGACTATAGAGTGGATTGATTAACATAAGCAATGGATTGCCAATTTGAACAGAGTGCCAGATTCAGTTTCAGATGGCAATGTTAACGTATGTGAAAGTGTGTGTGCACGCACGTGTATGTGTGTATACATTTAAACTGAGTTCCATGCTTGTGATTTACCTCCTCGTGACTGTGAATGAGAGCTTAAGGATGACCCATTTTACATCATTCATTTTTGCCTTCATTTGCCAATTATATTCACGCACTCTCTCTCTCTTTCTCTGTCTCAGTGCCCTCCTCCCCCACCCGACCCCCAAAATGCCAGTGGCTTTAATCTGAGCAGAATGATAAGCATCAGACACAGATCAGACAGAGCCACCCTGAGAGTTACTGTACTTCACACCAGTCAAACTTCTATAGAACAAAACCTCCAACCTTGTCTTTTATTTTCACAAATAAATTACCTCACTAAATATAACCAACGTTAATGTAAGTGGCTACAAATTACAGCTAATTAGACTCTATTAGTACCGTTCATTCATGAAGTGCTTATGGTCGCTAGGCAAGTTAGCATATCTTCTATTATCTGTTAAATCCAATTTAATATTTATCAGCTTGCATCGACCAATCACAGCTGTTTGTATTACAAGGAGGATTTGTTGCCAGGCAGATGTCCACACTGGTTTCTTTGGTTATTCATGAGCTGGTACTCAAGTGATTTGTTTTATGTACATAGACCTGTGGTAAACAGTAGACAGATGGCTTAAAATGCTGTTTGGTTTTATTAAGATTTTAAAAATGTAACAGTAATTTATATTGCACTTATATTTATTTGCACTCATATTTTTAATTTTTACAATCCTCCAGCCTCACTGTCAGCCACCCTATTGTAATCACATGTAAAATAATATTATGTATGAGGTCAGAAACTGTGCAGAATTTTGCTGCCTTCAAGTGCTCAAATGACACACTTGTAATACGAAAGTAAGGAAAAGGAAGAAAATCATTCCTCCATTTCCTGATTATATTCCAAATGTAATCACGGTAAGAAGCATCTTCAGCTGCCGGTGTCAAGAAAATAGTAATATTGTTATAGAAACAACTTCAGCAATATATGTTGTCTTATCTCTTATCTCCGCCTTCTTGAATTATATCGACAAGGATATCATAACCTGGACGATAAAGATATTCATGCGGGACTTTAAACACTGTATATACCACACCATATATACAACTGTATAGACGTACTTGTTCATAGAACTCGTTGACGATGCCCTCTGTCCACTGCAGGTGTAGTTCCTTACACTTCAACGGTCCATTGACGTCTGCTAATTTAATGCACATCTGACACACCAACAATCGGTCGTTCTCATTGGTCCAATCGACGCCGTTCACTCCATCGTCACCCACCTATGGGGACAAGAATGCGATGAGGTGTTTTTAGTGAAACAAAAGGATCTTCAAGTTATAATCAACGGAATACTCTTGACACTCAATAAATCTGGACGATAGACGCGTTGACATCAACACGTTCAGCTAGTGCAGATTTGCCCTTTCACCTTTGCATTGAACTCCGTCAGGAAGTCAAAGTGCTTTTTGAGGTCAGTGGCCAGGATGGCTTCAATGACGAGGAAGCGGAAACGCTTGAACTCCACGTGCTCAAGGTTAGTGAGGAAGTTGTACTCGGGTCGTGACATGAAGAGGTTCCAAGCTGCAGCGGCGTGATGGTTTTCCAAGACTGAGCGGTCGTTGTACAACAAAGCCTACAGGGGGGAAAAAAAACCAAACAACTTAGATTACACTGGTGGTTTGACGTTCTAACTTTGCAGTAAAACTGGAGCTTGGAGCTTAGTTTTACATTTACTTAACACTCACTGTAATTTGAATTGCTTCTATCTGCTGTGACTTTTTTTTGTATTTACCTGTGGTGCACTGGTAGCTACTAGAAAGGCATTGGTTCTTCCGGGATGGTCGTAGTCGTGCATGGCAGCAGCTACATACAGAGCCATTAGCTCCAGAGCTGGAATGAGGCCCGACAGGGATCCGTATCCTTCCTCCTTCACAAAACTCATCTTGGAGACCAGGAAGCCTGTGGCTCCAGGTCTGATGCCGTTCTCCGTGTCTACAGCGTCACAGATCAAATAAGAAATACTTTATTAAATGTTATTGCTTTTGTTGCCTAATTGTACCAATGTCTAAAATACATTCTCTTTGTAGACTAAAACCGCTCAGAAACCCAGAGATATATATCCTAGAATTTGAACAGATAGAGCTGATGGTAATTTTCATCATGAGATGCTGCAGTGGATATAAATAGCCCTCACCAGTGTGAATTCCATTCTCTGTCAGCAGGGTTGACAAGCCTGGCACTGGCTGAGTGGTGAGATACCAAACTGCATGCAGCACATCAGCCGCATGGATCCGGTTGTGATCTGTGTAAAAAACAAAAAAAATAAAAATATAGATTTAATTTAATAACCAGATATTGTCAAAAATATCAACGCGTCTTTTGAAAGATGTAGTTATTTGTCAAGGTTGTAGTGTGCTTACTGACCCGTTACAAATACAGTAACTTTTAAGTTTTGGGCAATACAGCCCCCTTGTGGCAGAAAGAAGTATTGTCCTATTATATGCTAATAATTCAAAGTTTTTTTTTACACTGTATCACTTCCGGGAGTATTATGTTGACAACATTAAAATACAGCAACAGAGACCCATTCTAGTTAACTGAGCACCGTGTTAGAAGAATCACATGTATTCCTACTAGATTATTATTATTGTTCAGTGACATGGCACCACAACTGGTACTCAATTCAGACGAGCCACTGTGTTATCCACTACGCTCTCTGAGGGCGTCTTGTAGTATTAATATATAATAATACATATAATAAAAATAATTATAAAAAGTGAAAACAAACATTTTATCCTCTTGTTCATGTATTGTCCCCTCTCTTTCATCAAAACTTTACTTGGCCAATTCGCTGATACAATTAATATTAATATTCTCTTTGTTTGTTTTTTAGCCTCGCACCATAGTTTGAGAACCCAATGCAATGTGAGCACAGTTGAGAGTAAGGGTTCTACTCACAAGGGATGTCTCTGTAGCCATTCTCTAAAGCATGGAAATAGTTCATGAACTCTTGCATGGGAATCCTGAAGGTTTCAAACAGACCCGTGTCTTCGAAGAGCTTATGAGAAACCTGGTCCACCGGGGGGGAGGAAGAAAATATTGTCAGAGGTTCAGATAATATTCCAGCTTGTGTGATGAGAATTAAACTGCAGTTATCCGACTCTGTGAACTAGTCTTTTACCTGACTGAGGATGCAGCCTGTCTTTCCATGAGTCTTCTCTGCTAGGCTGAAGATGGGAAAGTTCCAGTTACTGGCCTGACTCATCAGAGGCTCCAGATCTGACATCACCAGTGTGTCCAGATCTACATTTGGGTTGTCCTGTCAGGCACAGATCAACAGTTAGCTTTAAGCCAATTTTTTTAAATCAAATCTATTTTATTCTATTCTTAGTTTGTTTACAGTTTGGGTTTTTTCTTTGCTCAAACTTTAACAGGAGAAATTAGTAAATCCAAAAGTTTACAGACAAATCAAAAGGCTCAGGTTTTTGGAAACAGTTTTCATTGTTTCATTTTTATTTTTCTCATAAGATTCCTAATGTCTGCTCTGATTTCAGTTAAATTTATAATTCTGGGTTAAAAAAACAAATAAAAAAGTATAACACAGCCAAGGGGTTCACAAAAAAATATAAATTATTATTAATTATTATTATGACAAATTATTGTTAAAGCTGTCAGAGGTATGTTCCTTGACAGTTATTCAAATCAGATTTTGCAATTAGAAAATCTGTCTTAGAATATTTTGACTCCCTACTCTGAATCACAACTGACATAAAACAACAAGCAAGTATATTTAACTATAAGGTCTTATCATAAAAAAATTTAACAATGAAAAAAATTAAATATTTTGTTTGTAAAGTCTACATTTTAAAGGCAATGTTTTGTTTTTGTTTAGAAAAAATAAATAGGTAAATAAAGTTATCTTTTGGCGAGCATCTAAGATCCTTTTTATTGGCCATGTCAAGAAATACTGTAAATATGTACCTCTGGTGATGGCAGTGGAGCATGGCCCTCTACTGGACAGTCCCTGCAACTTTCCCTGACGTCAGACGCCTTCTTGCCTCCGTCTCCCTCCTCGTCATTCTGTGCAAAGTCGCTGCTGTCACTGTGGTTGGTCTCGTAGGTGCTGTCATAGGTGCTTTCATAGTCTGATGATGCTACAGCTCGCTCGTCTGCAGAAACACAGAAATAGTTTTACAAATATCAAATTGTTCCCAGCCGTGGCTCAACAGTAGAAATATACATATAGACATGGCAGTTGCAGTGACTTGTGCAGAACATGTCTGCCTGCGATTGTGCGTGGGTTCAAATTATAACCTAAATATAGAGAACAGTACAGTGTAGTGTTTTTCTGATGTGGCCCCAGGTGAAAATGAATTCCACATTTATTTGTTTACCTGGGTGAAGTATTCTGTCTCCTTTGTCAACAGATTCAACACCACGCTTCAAGCGGTTGTTGAAGGGCCTCCCGCAGCTGATTTATAGAAACCAGAGAAACATAGACATTATGGTTAAGTTAAAAGTCAAATCAGTACTGGAATGTTTTGCTCCGGGTATGTTATTTTTTACTGCAATTATGCTGTATGGGGGATGGAAATTGAAAACCAGCTCCCAATGATCAGATTCCTTGGAAGCCTTTGACGGACTAAAATTGGTTTCATGCAGGAGAGAGTTGGTCACCTGCCACAGAGTGATGGAGGCTGCCAGTGTGTGGTGGTGGAGCTCGGAGCACTCTGGCTGTGAGTTAAGGCTCTGTGATGGCTCTTGGGGGCCACAGAACCAGGGGCCCGTTCTGTCAGTGGCCTGGCCACCTCAGGAAGCTGCACTGAACAAGTTTTTACTGTAGGACTGGAGACCGGAGAACCCTGGACTGGAGGAGATGGGCACGGAGAACCTAGAGAGGATACATGCAAGGGGGGGAAACCTGGGGGAAAAAACAGGTTTGGGGTTTTAAAATATGAACTACTGTTTAGTACATGATGTAAAACTGGCTTTGACAAACACCTGGTCGTCCCAGTGGTTTGCTACAGAGGTGGTTGGACGTGACGGAGGCTGCACAGGAGGCGGACATGGAGCGGCTCTTAGAGATGGTCATCATTATCGAGTTGTTCCATGATTCACTGCTTTGCAAAGAAGAAACATGAGGACAAATGGAAGACTTTCTTGACTCAGTGTGACTCAGTCTGTCTGCAGGGGACATTACCTGTCTGTGATGTGTTTGATGCTGGCTGAACGGTCACGCAGGACCGGGCCTGGCTCGATGGTGGGCAGCCCTGTGGCTGAGGTGGTTGTTGTCCATGTGGATGAGATTCTCCTCAGTAGGCCTGGGGGGAGACTCCGCCTTAGACGCTGAAATGAAGAGGCCGATAATTATTTAATTTATTTAATTAATAATAGTTATCTTCACTGAAATTTGAAATTGAAATTTACAGTCTTTAAGATGTTCTCGAATTTTCTGGCATTTTATGGTCAGTGGTCTGTCTATCCACCCATCCATCATCTATCGTTCATATATCCATCCATCTAGCATCCATCCATCCATTTATCCATCATCCATATACCAATCCATCCATCCGTCTATCTATCCATACATCCATCCTTCCATCCATCCATCCATTCCTTCTTCTACATGTATATACTACATATATATTAGGGATGTGTATTGGCAAAAGTGCGGCGATACAATACATGATACATGGGACACGATGTGAAATATTGCAATATACTGCAATACTTTAGGCACAACAATATATTGATTTTTTTTAAACAATGTAATTGTAGGAAAACTGTCATAGTAAACACACAATGCTGTTCCATCCTAACATCAGGAACTGAAATAGGAACAGAGGAATCTAGATTTGTAATTGGTAGAGAAGAAATCAGCAAATCAGCACTGTAATGTAATTGGTAGAGAAGAAATCAGCAAAATAAAATGAACCAGCGCCATGAATGCATGTTAATTGTTAATATAAAAAAATTTGATACAGCACTGTAGAATATCGATACAGATATTTTAGTGTATCAATATTTTCTAATATGTGTGTCTATATACATATGTGTATATATACAGTAGATATATACAGTACATTTATATATATTTATACATAAATAAATGTGTTTAGATATGAAAATGCATCTAGTGGATTTGTTGAATGTGATGCAGTAGAAAAAGAGAAAAAAGGGAAATCCTTCCTTCAGGTTGGCTTTCTTTTTCTATGCACTGAAGCATCACGGTAATTCCAGGTTTTGTGGGGGTTTCTTTTTCTCTTCATAATCAAATCCTAGAACTCTCAAATACAAGGTGAATATCAATCACTGCAAGCATATGGCGTCTGCCTCTGCTGCACTGAATTTGATTAGTTTGTCATAATGCATTCTTGGAGCACATCTGAAGCACTGAGCTGTAGGATGATAAAATTATAGACGTGGGTGACAAAGAAAAGATGGATATTTATACAGTGAGTTATTTTTCTTTGCAGAAACGATTGAAATACCTACTGTATTCGAAATTTGGACCACGCCTCGAATTATAGTATATAAACTATTTTGTAATTTATTGTGCTGTATATCCATGCAGCAGAAAGTGGTTTGCATTACATATATGTCTAACTATATGATATATCACATTAAAACTGCAGTTTTTCAAGAGTCTAATAACATTAAGGCTACCCTTCACTTTACTGTTTCTGCACTGCATCACACACACTCTATTTAGTTTCCTTGCCTCCTTAAGTGTGACACAGATTTCCAAGCACCGACCCTGTAAAACATTAAAAGCCCTCGGGAGGGCATCGCGTCATTGTGAGCTACATGAAAGCACCACGCTACGCAGGGAGTGAGGCGGCAAAAAAAAAAAAAAAACTGGGGTGATGAATGCAGAGAAAGATACATCTGTGTGTGTGTGGGTGTGTTATTTTTGTTGCTACTGTGCTGACAATTTCTGGTCTGACTGATGTTTATAGGACAGTGGGAAAAACATCCCAACAGGACAGAACTTTACTTGTTAGACTTCCAAGACTTAGACAAGTCAAGTAAATATAAGGAAAAGATAGATTACACTATATATATATATATATTTAATATATATAAATATATATTTATAAATATATATATTTTTATATATATATATATATATATAAAAATATATATATTTATAAATATATATATTTTTATATATATATATATATATATAAAAATATATATATTTATAAATATATATATTTTTATATATATATATATATATATAAAAATATATATATTTATAAATATATATATTTTTATATATATATATATATATATAAAAATATATATATTTATAAATATATATATATTTATATATATATATACATATATAAACATATATGTATATATATTAAATATATATTTATATACTGCATCTTTGTGTATTATATTGTTGGACTAAGGCAGTACATGATATTTGGTTTAAGTATTTTAGGATTATTTTATATTGATCCATGGCCCGGCATTGGGAGAGACAGTGAGACATGCTTTGAAGTACTGAGCTGGTGGTGGCAGAAAGATGCTGATGTTGTCACTGGGAGTGAGCAGGATGGACAGGACTAGTTAGAGCAGGTCAGGGGGCAGTTAAAGTGGAGCAGTTTGGAAGTGAGGTTAAGATGGTCTGGACATGAGCTGAGGAAAGACATTGGGTAAAAAGGGACAACTAAGAGTTCCATTCCTTTACCTTTGGAATGGCCAGTCTCTCCACCTTCTCCGGCCCCTCCTCAGAGTCGGAGCAGGTCTGCGTGTCGGCAGGCATGCGAGGTCGGTGCAGGGGCTGCAGGCTGATTTGGGTGCTGAGGAGATTGCTGACAGCTTTCAGGGAGCTGCAGGTGTTGGGCGGCAGCGAGGGGTCGGCCAGCAGGTCTGAGATCAGACCATGGGCCTCCCCCATCACGGCTATGTCCACGACCACGCTGGTGCCAGAGGACTAGAGGAGAAGGGGGAGGAGAGAGAAAAAGGAGTGAATGTCTTCAGCTCAAAGAGCAGAAGTAGGTCAGGTGGTTAAATTATAGTAGAACTGAGCAGAAAACAGACTGTAAAGAGTCATGGGAGCTGATCTCACATGTGAGTGGATGCTG